AATCAATCCCATTTATATCAAACTGTCAAATGCTTCAAATATTTTTTTAAAAGATTCACAAACTCAGCAATCTGAACAGATCCTGCAAACTCATCAAGAAGCAATCAAGATTATAAAGTACCACCGAAATAATACCCAATCCAAATTAGTACTAAAACAGCCATTTTGTGTGTGAGAGAACTGATGTTGCTGGACCATTTCCAAATGCAGCCACACGTACAAAATGTTGCACTAATCCTCAATAGTGCTATTTGCAATGGGATGGTTCCACTTGAAAGCTGCCTGAACAGTGTTCAGATCATCCTGGATTATTTAAGAAAAATAGGTTTGATGCCTTACACTAATCTATGCAGGATGATTCCAGTGCAAGGAACACAGTGTGGGTTCGCAGCATGTCTCATTTGAAATTCCTTGAGGCAACGCATTTTACAGTTAGAAGCCATTAAGTTCCTATTATCTGTCTGGAGACATTCTTACAATAAGATTTATAGCAGCTTCATGTCTCGGATAGGAAGCGGAGATAAAAGTTTTGTATCAGTTCTGAAATACTAGTAATAGTTTATTTGGCAGACAGGATTAAAGGGGATGGGGCCCCAAGTTGCCGTAAGAGACTTGGGCTTATGCTTTAAATTTGGCTTTCCCAGACATTTAGCAAATCGAAAGCATATGATAATAGGAGCACTCTTCTGCACCCGTCTCCTCTTCTTCCCAAGTTGAGGGAATAATGAGGGAATAGTAGTAATGAGCTAAGCATCTCTTCTCCAAAGCCAAAAATATTCAAGTGCTATAATCCAATGGGACCTGATTTGTGGTTCGCTGGACTATAGGCAGCCGGTGAGAAATCCATGGTCTTTTTCCCAAATCAGTCTGAAGCAACTGCCATGTTGTTAACTCCTTATGCAGCCTGCTACCAAGTGGACCAGTAATATTCACCACTATTCTGTCAAATGATAGAAACTCTACCTCAGATTTTTGGTTTTTTAAAAATTTGAGCTTCTAGTTTTTATGCTGGCAGGTACCCACCTTAACATGAACATCTCTTGTTATTGTGTCTCCAAGTCATTTCCGAAAACATACATCTAAACAATAAACACCCTCTAAAGTCCTTTCTTTAAATGCCTATATAGTTTTTCTATTATAAAAGCATATTATATATGACGTTATTACTGTTGTTGTGTTCCTTCACTACATTTCTGACTTGTAGCGACCCTAAAGCAAATCCATCGAGAGGTTTTCTTGGCAAAATTTGTTCAGAGGTTTGCCCGTCAGTGGGTTTTGATGGTCACAGTCCGACATTCAAAAGTGCTGCACCACACTGTCACACTTATATCTACAAAAAGTAAATATAGCTGTGCTGGCCTTAAAGCCAAATGCCTTTTCCTATGTCAACCATGACTATAAGAGCAATTATATCTTCTCCCACCACAGAATTCTTATAACATCAAGTGTGATGAAGAGATTTAAAGAATTCAAAAGATTTCATGTATTCTTGTGCTTTATAGATTAGTTTAATAAATGTAAGTATCAGAATATGAATTTTGGAATCTCTCTTAGCAAGAAAACGAGAAACTATGTACCCGAGTGGTAAGACCTGCTGTTTATGGCCAGGGTCTCCACTTAAATAACCACTTAAAGGTAGTAGCTAAAAGGCTGGAGTTAAAATTGCTGGACGAACCATTAACAGTCTTAGATATGCAGATGATACCACTTTGATGGTTGAAAGCAAAAAGGAGCTGAGGAGCCTTACAACCAAGGTGAACGAAGAAAGTGCAAAAGCTGGGTTGCAGTTAAACACATACACACACACACACACACACACACACACACACACACACACACAAACTCCAAGATGATGGCAACCAGTCTGATTGATAACTGGCAAATAGAGGGAGAAAATGTGGAGGCAGTGGCAGACTTTGTATTTCTGGGTGCATTGCAAATGCAGACTCCAGCCAGGAAATCAGAAGACGTTCACTTCTTGGGAGGAGAGCAATGACCAATCTCGATAAAATAGTGAAGAGTAGAGACATCACACTGGCAACAAAGATCTGCATAGTTGAAGCAATGGTATTCCCTGCAGTAACCTATGGATGTGAGAGCTGAACTGTAAGGAAAGCTGAGGGAAGGAAGAGAAGTGCCTCTGAACTGTGGTGTTGGAGGAAAATTCTTGGACCGCAAGAAGATCCAACCAGTTCATACTTCAGGAAATAATGCCCGACTGCTCATTGGAGGGAAGGATATTAGAGGCAAAGATGAAGTACTTTGGCCACATCATGAGAAGACAGGAAAGCTTAGAGAAGACAGTTATTCTGGGGAAAATGGAAGGAAAAAGGAAGAGGGCAGACCAAAGGCAAGATGGATGGATGGCATCCTTGAAATGACTAGCTTGACCTTGAAGGAGCTGGGGGTGGCGATGGCCGACAGGGAGCTCTGGCATGGGCTAGTCCACGTGGTCATGAAGAGTTGGAAGCGACTGAATGAATAAACAACAGAAAGGTAGTGGGAGGTGATGCAAGATACTTATGATATACTGAAACTTACATTGTTGGGAAGGTCATCTAAAATAATTTATGGGGTCTGGGGCAGCGTGCCTACATTACCTTTTCCCCCAAGAAAGCCTGAACAGCTAGGTGGCCAAATATGGTTTTCTGTATACTTCCCACAGAGGTATAGATGATGGAGCCTATCTACTCACTAAAGGTCTATATAAACGGTCTTAAACATGTTTTCCTTCTGAAGTATTTTAGTTGGAATGTGCTGTTTTTCTTCCAAGATTTTACTCTTCCTGAGAAGTCATATTTCCATTTCCATACCATTCGTAATATACTCTTGAGACCCATGTAGATAATATAAATGTGTAGCGGTTTACTAGTTGAATAATTCATGAATATTTCAAATCAAGAGGGCATGCACATTTTCCTCAGGTCAATGTTATGGCTGCCATACAAATATACTATGAGAGGGGTGACTCTGTATAGGAGTGGTGGCAAGGCAACAATTTTCATTCCAGCAATGTCTTCAGCACATTTCTCACTTAGAAAAACACCCTTTCATAGACTTAGTCTTTTGAATACAGAAAAATGGAAGAAAATAAACATGAAATATTTCAGCATGAAGTATCTGTCACATCTACTGGCCCAACCAAGAGGCTTCCATGAACAGAGCAAAATATCATTTCCACAAGGAAGAAACATCTGTTTCAATCAAGCACTTCAATGGAACATTATTTCAATTTTGAAGAAGTAAAATCAGCACACATTTATAACACTGGCCAACACGCATTTTGGTGCCTCAAATGTTAGCCTGTTTCCAAATATATTTGACCTACTGATTTCAAAAATAACATCAGTTTTCCACTATCAGCTCTAGTTTTTGAGATGCAGAACATATGCTACCAGTCTTCATCTGTTGCCCATAAGAAATCACGATAACCATATCTAAAGCCCCTTCCACACAGCTGAATAAAATCCCATGTTATCTGCTTTGAACTGGAATATATGGGAGCAGGCATGTAGCCGGGGGGGGGGGGCTTGTGGGGCTTCAGGCCCTGGGGTAACTATACAAAAAGGTTTGCTAGGGTAACCCTCTTTCACGTCAACTCCCCTCTTATCTCTGTTGTTTCCTACTGGATCCCCCCCCCCCCCCCCCGGAATCGAAATCCTGGCTACGGGCCTGTATGGGAGTGTGGACTCAGATAACCCAGTTCAAAGCAGATGTTGTGGGATTTTCTGCTTTCATATTCTTGGTTATTTCTTTATTTATACTATCAAGAACGAACCAAGGTTATAGTTGTAATGTATTTAAAAAGTAATCATCAACAAAAAATCAGTGCCTCTGGTGTTGCTGTGAGGAGGTCCTCCATTGTGCATGTGGCAGGGCCCAGGCTGCATTGTAATAGGTGGTCTGTGGTTTGCCCTTCTCCACACTCGCATGTCATGGACTCCACTTTATGGCCCCATTTCTTAAGGCTGGCTCTGCATCTTGTAGTGTCAGTGAGCAGTCTGTTCAGCGCCTTCCAAATCGCCCAGTCTTCTGGACACACATAATTCTGGGTTATATGATTGTGTGGAAGGGCCCTAAGAAACCAGGGCTGATGTGGTCTATCCAATGCAATTTTCTGAATTGACACCCCAAATAACCTCAGGAACAGGCTTAAAAACCAAAACACTAAGAAATCCTTTTTTTGTTGGGCTGTGAACTAATTCCATAAACCTAAGAGAATCCAATTAGTTCGGGCCAAACTATTTTACAGATATTAGGTGCCATTATGCTATTTGTTCTAGAGATGCTTGTTACCTTGAGTAAAGAATGGGGTAGGATTTTTGAATACCTGTACAGTATTTGCACATATGTACATATGGAAATATCTTAGATATGGGACCCACTCTGGACATGAACTTCATTTATGTGTCATATGCACCTTATACACGCTATTTTTTTAAATACTTTCATGCATGAAAAAAGTTTCTGTACATCAAACCACCAGAAAACAAAGATATCACTCTTAGCCACCCATGTGGATAATTCTGGAGTATTTTGGGATTCCAGTTAAGGGATGCTCAACCTGTACTGCCTTGTACTCTTTTGAAGAGGAGTTAAAAAGAAAAATAATAATCAATTCACTATATTTTAACCAGAATTTGTTTTCAGAATAAATAATTCCACCCACAGAGTAGAAGGAAGATCTGTGTCAAAAGTAGGTAAGCCATCTTCATATACCCAATGAAACAATGCCTGGCTTCATCAATGATCTGGATCATGCATTTGGTTAAGTCTGCAGATGATGCAGCATTGCTTCCAACCCAAGCAAGCAGGTGGAGGAGAGGCAAAAGGTGGAGGAGAGGCAAAAGGGTTTTTTTCAATTTTAAGTTGTTGACTTCCCAGAAATACTGAACAAGAAGAAATCCTAATCAAATTCACATTTCTTTGACCAATAAAAGTCTGCCCACCCCTGCAAATTTCTGTTAAGAAGTACCAAATGGTAACGAAGTAAGAATGTGTACATTTTTGTGGTGTGTCTATTTTCTTAGATAATGATGATTTACAGTTTTCGAGAAGTTACAAAAACAAAACCCCAAACTTTATTTTGGAAATAATGACAATTTTCTGTAAAAGTGCTCTTAAGACACCAGTAACTCATTCTACTTCATCTGCACGCTATAATCTGGACCAAACATATGAGACAGAGGTGATCAATCTCTCATATATATATATTTTTGTAAATTCAAAGCAACCCTAGAGGGTGGAGTGCTGGTCAAGAAAGGTGTTCTGGAAAACAGAAGGCTCAGCTCCCTTCACTCTATTGTAACATTCTCCCCAGTAATTGCTGTTTGGGCAACTGCATAAACAGCAGAGAGAAGCAACTGACATTCCATATCATTATAAAGAGTTATACCAGACATAAGTTGTGGCCTAACATCTGATTTTAGGGAGTCTACCTACCTGTTCATAATGGAGAATACTGTGAAAACTCCAGTCATTTCCCTTGAAGTGTGATTAGTTGAATTTGTTTTAATCTGGAGCCAAGTGATATCACTCTGCCTAATTCAGCAGGATAAACTAGAGAGAATAACATGACCACCTATTGAGGCCATAAGGACCATTTTCAGAAAGTTGCAGGATCATTAATAAAATTTCCTTTGAACATGTGCAGCCTTCCAAAGCTGTGGTGGGCAAACACGCTCACATCACAGCACAAATAAATAACTAGCTTTTATGATTTCAAAGCCATTCATCACTGTCAGTGGCTTCAAGAAAATGTAGCACGCCAACACACATCCATTTGCTCGCTTGTTCTTTTTTGCTTTTACCCAAACTGCTGTCCTCCCAATATGTCTAAAGAAGATATTTTTCAAAAGATGCTATATGGCTACCAGGTAACACCACACATGTCTTTCAGATAGCGCAGTGGAATAAATCCTAGACACAACAGGCTTCAACCGGATGGACAAACGCAATCATTTATCCTGAGAGGTGATCCTCAATTTTAAAATGAGACAAAAGAGAGTTCAGCCAAACATGGTTACATATGAAGCTTTCAAAAACTTCACATAATTCTGGATACTTTGGGTCTGGTTTTCGGATCTCTGAAGGCCGTGTTCTAGTTCTTTCAAAGATAATTCATGGTGTTTTTCTCTCTGGAAAAAAAGGAAAATGTACTGACTAATGTTTAAAAACCTGTGAAGCTGAAAAATGCTTCAGATAAACCAGATCACTTAATAATAATTAGCTCATTAAAATACAATCTTTTAAAAACACATATTGGTAAAATATATGTCATCACTGTCTCAGAATTTGTAGCCATTGGGTATATTTTTTACATGCAATTTTTGAACACATTACTTTCCTTGGGCTTTTCTTTTACTTTGTAACATTCACAAATTTAAGAAGCCTGAGCACTGTTGTACGCTTCTACAATTCTTCCCTGCTTCTAGCAACATCCCCTCACCAAGAGAATAGTTTGCTCTGTTTTTCATTTCCACTGACATGCATGCCCTGACCTGTGTATGCCCAAGCAGACATACATATGCATGTCTATAACTGAACAACAACAATAATGAATGTGTTCTGTATTAAATCAATGACACTCAAAAACTAGTAAGATTATTTTCGTATTTATTTTTAACTGTCAGATCAAATAAATTTGAACTGGGAAACGCTTAAAACATAACATGTTAGCGCTAACAAATGGAAAGTAAAGGGCACTTCTGCTGGAGAAAAAGTTTTAGGAGAGTTGTGATTCACTTTAGCCGAGCCGTCAGATGGAGAAGTTTGCAATGATTAGTGAAATTTTTAAAAAATAAATGTATGTAGGTGGCTATTGATCATGTCTACAAAATTCTGCAAACAACTCTGAAAGCGAGACATATTTGAGCCTTGGGCATATTAAATCAGAAAGGACTTTAAGTTACTGGTAGAATGTGTAATCTATCAGTAACTTAGGACTTTCTTGCAGGTAGAAAGTTCTAAGTTCAATCCCAGACATCACCATTCCCATCTATATTTACTTATTCCTATTCCATAATGGTGTATGAGATGGCTTACAAAATTAAAACCCATATAAAAATAGATAAAACATTACTGTTAAACTATAATCCATTATCTCTAAAGACAAGATCAATTTCAAAACAAATTCCTTAAAAGGAATTATGACAACACTATTAATAAAGTATTCTGCTCACATCAGTCCCCCAAAGATAGTAACTTTTCACTTGCTCTTAGGATTACGAAGAGGAAGGCGTAGTCTTGTGCACGGATTCAGAGTGGTCAGTTCCCTTCGGCCAATCCGTCTTGTTTGGCTTGGCTGGGTGACCATAATGGTAAGGGCCCAGCTGCCACATTTTTTTGGTCCATTATAGGACCACATGGCAGCCAATAATGGCCCCCCCCCCCCCCCAATTCAACATCACGTGGCATGCAAAGAGGCTGCTGGTCGCACAGGGTTTCTCTGTGAGCCCTGCCTGTTAGGCCAATCTGAATAGAAGAATGCTGTGACATGTGTTATACACTGCTTCCTTAATCCTGTTGCTCAAACCCAGATTCTCTTGATAGGAAGATAGGAAAGGATCCCAGAAGGGATGCTTCCTTAGCCCAGTTCTTCAAACTCAGACTCCCTTGTTAGGAAAATAAGAAAGGGTCCCAGGAAGGGTACTTCCTTAACCCTGTTTTTCAAACCCAGACTCCCTTGAAAGGCAGAAAGGAAGGATTCTAAGAAAGATGCTTCCTTAACCCCGTTCTGAAACACAGACTCCCTTGAAGGCAACAAAGGAAAGGGTCCCAGGAAGGGTGCTTCCTTAACCCTGTTTTTCAAACCCAGGCTCCCTTGAAAGGAAGAAAGGAAAGGGTCAAGGAAGGGTGCTTCCTTAACCCCATTGCTTCCCCTTGAAAGGAAGAAAGGAAAGGAATGGCAAGGAGAGCCTTATAAGTTCCCCATTGCCACCAATTGGCCGGATCTTCCGGGGTTTTCAAAAAACAGATATTTCCACTAGCTGATTTTCTAAAGGCTCCCGAAAAAAGGATTGGGGCGCCCAATGAAATTTGGATACCAAAATTGGATCACTTTCCAGCCGAATTGCACAAGCCTAGAAGCCAGTTCAGGTTCCTCGGAAAGGAAAAGCTGGTGCCCATCTACACTAGATAATTAAACTGATTTGACCCTCAATGTCTTTTCTCAGGGCACCTAGGTCAGGAAAAGGACTACAACTCTTGAAAGCAGAGGACTGTAAGGTCTCTCTAAAAACTAGAACAGAAATATGACAATTTAAAAAACCAGTGTTATATAGTAAAGATACATATCTGGCTCACCTCCCAATATCTGTTCCCTAATTTTCTGAAAGAACAAAGTGTCCTGCACACTTTTCTCCACACTTTCACTACTGCAGACAACCCATCTGCTAATAACACGCACGGCTATTTTAGTTCAACTTTGGAAGGAATGTGAACTGTATGAGTAGATATCAAAGGATATTGTCCAAAGTGAACCTCTGTTCTACAAATACACGCTTATTTTGTTGGCATTCAAAGACAGTAAAAAAGTGCAATAACTTGGGAGAAGATGGAACATCTGGCAACTTCCCAGAGGGTAACAGCTAAGTTAGCCTCTTCTAACACAGAAATGTGTTTGAATTTGATAGCGATTATGTGCTAGAATCTGGGTGTGTTGTACTATATATAATATTTGTATGAGTGAAGTACAAAAAAGCTATTTCAATTTGCTTTTTAGTCTGAAATGTATAAGGCGGCTGACAACAATACTGAAATGATTTTAAGAAACCAATATCAAAAGCAATCAATTCCATCCAGCCCAGATGCCAAAGATTTGGGGACATGGTGGACAGTCTACTTACAGCATCTAGTCTTCTAGTTAGCTGTCTCTGCTCTTCTTTTTTCTTTCTCAGTGCATTTTCTAGATCCAATATTTTCAACTGAAATGACTGCTCTCTAGAAGTGATCTTCTCCATCTCTTCTGCTAACTGCAAAAATAAAAGTTGAGGTCTGTACCACCGTCTAATAACATCCATCTGATGCAGTGAGCTGCAGTCCACAGAATGTGGTATCAAATTAAACATGTAAGCCTTTCACATGACCAAATGATCTGTTGTTATTAACCAAACAACCTGAAATGATTACCATTATTTGAAGATCAAACCATTCTTATTTCTTCATTAATAGGACATAATGTAGCTGAGATAATACAAATCAGTAGAAAGCAAAACTGAAACATTCTGTCTGTTCCTAATTATGAAATAATTATGAGAGCTCCTCGTCTGTTTCCAGGGTGGATCTGATCCTAAACCCTCATCAGTTTGATTACAAAACTTCTATTAAGTGCCTGTGAGGTTTTAATCTGTGAGGTTTTCTGATTCCAATTTATTGTGGAATATAAAAATGCCCCATAGGAAGCAAAACTACTGCAAAGTATAAAGATGCCTCTTACCCACAGAATTATTTGTGGTTACAAAATCAAGGATATTCCATGGCACCGAAACACCCAAACCAGAAAACATATGTTGGCATAAGGTAAAAGCTTTCTTACAAGCAGATGTCAATTTTCCTTGTTTGCCAAAATTGTTCCCAATGCAAACACAGATTTGAGGGCATACCCCCCCCCCCAGCCTTTTTACTGTCTGTGGCAGGGTACAAAATCACCAAATACCTGCCTTGCAGGACTACCTCTGTGTGAATTCTGCAACAAAAATGACTCTGATATAAATGGTTTACATTCCAATTTTGTTAATGCCCAAAAATGCCTATTCTCCCTGCATGAATCATAGAGTTGGAAGGGACTTTGTGGGCCAACCAGTCCAACCCCCTGCCAAGAAGCAGGAAAATCGCTTTCAAAGCACTCCCTACAGATGGCCATCCAGCCTCTGCTTAAAATCTTCCAAAGAAGGAACCTCCACCACACTCCAGGGCAGAGAGTTCCACTATTGAATAGCTCTCACAGTTGGAGAGTTCTTCCTTGTGTTCAGATGGAATCTCCTTTCCTGTAGTTTGAAGCCATTGTTCTGCATCCTAGTCTCCAGGGCAGCAGAAAACATGCCTGCTCCTCCTCCCTATGACTTCCCCTCATATATTTATACAAATATTTATGAGAGTTTATTTATGAGAGTTAAAGTTTTATATAGCTGCTGAATTAGCTTTCTTCTGGACAAGCTTTTTCTTCTCCACTCCATCCAGCCAGTTATTTCCTCATCTGAGGTTGTTCTCTTAGTGCTGCCACCATCCGAAGTGAGGTGAGCAAGCAGAGAGCTCTTTCAGTGGTGTTTTCCCATCTTCAAAATACATGTCTGCAAGGAAGCTTGACCAGTTCTCACTTCATTGACATATTGGCAACAGAGAAAAGCTCAAATTATCATTCATGTTAGACTACTAATTCAATCTATTTTATATTGGCTACTAAGTTCTGTGGATATTGCTATATGTCATTCTCACTATACACACACACACAACTGGGTTTAGGTTGCCCCCCCCCCCCAATTTTCACATCATGAAGCCCTTTTACACTAATCCATATAGCACTATGACTCCACTACCATGGCTGCATCCAATGAAATTTTGGGGGTCTGCAACAAAAATATAGACAGGAAACATCTCCTGCCTCCAGTGCGAATATTTGTCTTCATTCTCCTAAGTTAAGCCAAAATTTGAGTTTGTTAGGCACATCTTCCATTCAATAATTGTAGTATTCAAATTGAAAATACAAAGTTCACAAGAAGTAAACACAGTTACCAGTGGTTAAGTATGCCTTCAAGTAATTTCAGATTTATGGGGACCCTAAAGTGATCATATTGCAGGTTTTTTTTTGTCAATATTTGTTCATAGAGGGTTTCCCCTTGCTTTTATCTGGGGCCGAGAGAGTGTGACTTGCTCAAGGTCATGCTGTGAGTTCACAACGCTGATTGGAGTTGCATTCCAATGCTCAAAGGGGTTCTGATTTACTGTACTGCTTAAAAGGTAAATAATCACAACCATAAAATAATCCAAATGCTTTGCCACAAACAGTAAAACAAACAAGGAGGCAATAAAAATAAGGTAAATATTAAACAAACGACAGGGCTCAAAATTCAACTCTGATACCAGTGAAAGAGCCCCAATCAAATTTCTTCCAAAGGGTGAGGAGACCCCAAAGTTATTTTTCCTCATTGCCTATTGTATGTCAGCCTGTTCAGTCTGTGTATGTGTATGTGTCTGATGATCATGCTGATTTTCATGATGGGAATGGAGATGATGTCCATGTAGATGTTCCTGAAGGGAATGGGGAATGTTAATTCGGTTTCTGGGCCAGGATCTGGCGATGAGAGGGCAGAGAAGCCTGGGCTGCTGCAAGGGCCTGAATGGAGTTTAAAAGACAGGTTGCATTGGCCTGAGTTGCTGCAAGAGGATTCTCAAGGTCACGAGCTTGGGAATGGCTTTGCGCCACAGTTCTCTGATCAGTTATCTAGTAATGAGCTCTCAGGTGTAGAACTTAATGAAGGGAGTGAGGCCTTGAACAGGAAAAGATGTTTCAGTCAACAAATACAATCAGTACAATAATTAAGGCGCTCAGCTAGACATCAACAGAAGCTGAAAGTGAAACCAAAATTAAGAGAGAATCCTTTTCTAGCTGTTTGGGAATTAGGGCAGCGTTTATAAGTGACGAGTGAGAAATATTGCTTCGGTTGAAGCAACATCGGTTTAACATCAAGTTCATAACATCAAGGCCTCCGTTTCTTGGTTATTCTATGGATTATGCTTTACAACCTCTGAGGATGCTTCTAGAACATGGCCATACAGCCCAAAAAACCTACAACAACCCAGATTATGCCTTTGTCCTATTCATGGATTCAAGTGCCTAGTTTCATGGATGTCTCTGGACTTTTTATTCCTGTTTCTTTTTATATCAATTGGATTACTTTTTTCTATCGATTATTTTCTATTGCTTTGAGCTTTTTATATTCTCAATAAACTGCTTGCCGATTTTATCCAGCTGGTGTGGTGTTTTAAAGTCAGAGGTGACTCTGCTCTGGAGTACAACATTGTCTTTCTTTTCATTGATTACTCTGACCTAACATTTCTAGGTATCCCCCCTCCCCCCCCCCACACACTTTTTTTTTAGGGCAGAGCTTTCCAAAGTAGTATGTCACCTGAAAAATCTAGTCCAACCCTCTTCAGCGAAGCAGAAAGACAGTGAAAGCACCCCTGGGTGGCCATCCGACCTCCGTTTACTCCCCACTCCCCAGGTTTAATCACTACAAAAATGGAGTGCTGATATTGTTTAAGTGTAGGTACTATTGTAACATTTATAATTTACACAGTTTGCAGTAATTGCCACTAAAATGAATATGTTTCGAATTAAGATAATCTGTTGACAATGATGCTTGTGATGAACCCCATGGAGCAGCTATAACGGAAAGGACACAAGAATTAACTGTAAGACATAAGAAGTGTAAAGGAAAAAAATCCAAACCTCATTTAAAGAGTGAGATATATATGATGTTTTATGTTATTTATATTGTATGAAACTCTTAAAAGAGGTTGGTTTAAAACTGAATTACTGTATCGCAAAAGGATGCATGTCTAAAAAACGTGGCAGCAACAAGAAAAGTTTGGAAAGCTCAGTTTTAATGTGTGCATTTCTTATATGGTTGGCCATGAAAACCCAGAGTGGCATTAGACAAGTCACACACTCTCAGCCTTAGAAAATCCTTTGATGGGTTAACGTTAGGGTCGCCAGAAGTGGGAAACCTGAAGACACAAAAATAACCATGTCGGAGAAGTGGTACAAAGGGTAGATCTTTGGAACTGTAGGCTACTTAAAAGGGCATCTGCAATATCCGAACAACAACAAAGGTAGAAGAATTTTGGACAAACTCATGTCTCAGATATGTTGTGTGTACTGTAGTGTGGCCAAAAGGCTATACACATTACAGAAAGGTTTATTTTCTGCCTGTCTTCCCACATATATCTTCCAAATCTGATAGGGGTGTGAAGCAGCTCTAGACGAAGGGTGGGCTAACCAGTTCATTTCCTGTGCGTGTCAATTTCACACACAATCATTTGTGGGGTTTTTTCCCCATCTGCATGAAGATCTGCACATGTTTTCCCCATCTGTAGTTATGAAGTTATTTGATTTTAAACGGGTTTAATCCCCAATCAGGCAAATAAATTCTGATACTCCTTTGAGCGAAGACCTGAAGAGGTAAATTGTAAGAGTCGGTATGTCGCAATGCATGAATTAGTCCAGAAGTGGATTGGGTGAGTTTGGATCAGAATTGACAAAAATCAATGTCTCAACCTTGATATTATCATTATTATTGGAACCTTGTGAACAACTGCTCAAAACTCCTGGCCTGCAAAAATAATGTTTACTGGCTTTTGGGACTTGTTGGAAAAAACACTGAGAGCTGCATCTACCTTGGAATTTCATAAGTGTTCCTAAGAAATATAGCTTACAACAACTGATATTTATTGAGTCTCCTTTCAAATACTAACCAGGATGGACATTGCTTAGCTTCAATGATCAGAAGGCTTTGGAGCCTTTAGTGCAGAAGTCCTCAAAGTTTTGAAGCAGAGGGCCGGTTCACGGTCCCTCAGACTGTTGAGGTGCCGGACTACAGTTTGAAAAAACATGAACAAAACCCTATGCACACTGCAAATATCTGTGCAAAAAAATTCTCATGAAAGAGCACAATATTTAAAATGAAGAACCATTATAAACAACATAAACGTATCCGTATTTCAATGGGATGTGTGGGCCTGCTCTTGGCTGTTGAGATCGTCAAATTAACGAGGATTGTTTTTGTTGTGAGCCTTCAAGTCTAAGGATTACCCTAAGTCTAACATTTAGGGCAGGGGCTGGATAGAAGACCTTGGAGGGATGAATCTGGCTCACAGGCCCTAGTTTGGGGATACCTATTTTAGTGTCCCCTATTGGTGCAGTGAGTTATACCACTGAGCTGCTGAACTTGCTGATTGAAAGGTCATCAGTTTGAATCCGGGGAGCAGGGTGAGTTCCCGCTGTTAGCCTCAGCTGCTGACAACCTGGCAGTTCAAAAACATGCAAATGTGAGTAGATCAATAGGTACCGCTCTGGCGGGAAGTTAAATGCGCTCCATGCAGTCATGATGGTCACATGGCCTTGGAGGTGTCTATGGACAATGCCGGCTCTTTGGATTAGAAATGGAGATGAGCATCACCCCTCCAGAGTTGGACACGACTAGACTTAATGCCAAGGGGAAATATATCTCCATATACCTCTGTCCAATTGCTAGTTGCACCATGATTACCAAGCTAGCTGGATGATACATGCCAACATTATATTGATATGGAGTGATGTTCTTATGTCTAAATTTGTTACGCTGTGTCATATATTGCTAGGTCGTATCTACCTCCCTCCTGCAACCAGTTTTGGAGCTAGGAATTTTCTCTCTCTTCATAACACTGTTCATATATTGATTTATATTAAGTAATAAAGAACATATTACTCAGGTCTGTTTTTCAATAGAAATAATGAACAGTGTTGCATAAGTTTTTGTTATTTTTGTGTGTCATCAGCTTGTTTCTGACGTATGGCAACCCCTAAGCGAACCTATCATGGGCTTTTCGTGGCAAGACTTATTCAGAGGGATTTTGCCTTTTGCCTTCTTCTTAGACCAAGCATCACTCATGGCCAAGGTCACTCATGGCTGAGTGGGGATTTGAACTGTGGCTCCCAATGCTTAAAGCACTATACCAGTGATTCTCAAGCTGTGGGTCCCCAGGTATTTTGGCCCACCATCCCCAGAAATTCCAGACAGTTTTCCAGCAGTTAGGATTTCTGGAAGTTGAAGGCCAAAACATTTGGGGACCCGCAGCTTGAGAACCACTACACTACACCATGCTGCCCCCTATGCCAGATCTATATGTTACTACTGGATTGTAATTCCTATCTCTCCTTGCTAAAATGATTGGAGTTTCAGTCAAAGAGGATCTGGAAGTCCACATGTGCCTCACTCTGCAGAGTTTCAAGCAGGATTGCTTGGGAGAAACAGACACAAAAGAAAATATAAGGAGTTATACGGTTTCACAGAGTTTACACCAGTATTGAAAAAAAGGCAAGGGAGAAATTTATTTAGTTGCAAGTCTTTAAAAATGCCAAAGCTGAGATGGGCAAAGATAAGATCAGAAAAGAGCATTTGCTTTATGACTGTCTATAATGCTCCACATGTGGTTCAGGTCATTTTACACTGTGCCACCATAAAAAAATGCTTGAAACATATGGGAAACGGCTTCCCCAACACATTAATCAAAGTAGGGGTCTGGTCTACAATAGAGATCAGTTCAAGGTGTTCTTCCCTGGTGCTTAACTGGAACCAGAACCTAGCTCTGGAACTAATTTCCAATGTCAGTGCTCACCTTGGAAAATGTACGAAGTCACGAGAAAAGAATGCCTTTGGGAACGTATAGAGTACCTCTCCCCCACCAGTGAGCAATTGGTGGCTTGTTTCCAAATTTTAACAAGGAGAAAATGCATCAGTGCTATCCCACAAGTTTTTTTCCACAAGAGCAAATAAGAAATGTCTCCAAGCACAATATTGCAATATACCAGGGTTTCTGTCGCAGTACGAGAAACCGTGTAATGGGATAAAATAGGTTACTGTAATCAATTGTATAAGGAGTGGGTTAAACCACTGAGCTGCTAAACTTGCTGACCAGAAAGGTTGCAGGTTCGAATCCGGGGAGTGGCGTGAGCTCCTGCTGTTAGCCCCAGCTTCTGCCAACCTAGGAGTTCGAAAACATGCAAATGTGACATCAATAGGTACCACTCCAGCGGGAAGGTAAGAGCGCTCCATGAAGTCATGCTGGCCACATGACCTTGGAGGTGTCTACGGACAACACCGGTTCTTCGGTTTAGAAATGGAGATGAGTACCAACCCCCAGAGTCAGAGATGACTGGACTTAATGTCGGGGAAAACCCCTTACCTTTACTTTAATCAATTGTATCATGGCTCACTTCATAGAAAGGTAACCATACCCACTCTCCTCCAAAAGATCTGTGTGGATTTTTTAAAAAATACAGCCACCTGTTTGTTTTGTAAAAGCCCCATCTTAAGATTGATATATTTCTGATTTTAAAGAGGGAACGGAGAAACTTTCATGACTATTCCTACCTTTTTCCTTCCATCTTCCAAAGCAGCTTCCAGCTGTCTGGTTAAAGCTTCACTGTCTGCAACTTTTTGTTTGAACTGGAATTCAATTTTCTGAAGACTCTCTTCTTGGTTCACCAACCGATTTTCAAGTTGTTTGTTTTGCAGTTCCATTTCTTCAAGTTTTCTTTTCAGTAAAGTAAATATACAAAAGATGGTTACCAAAGAATGACAGAAGACAGAAAGAATTCTGAAGGAAGCAGAAAGGCACACACTTACCTTTTAAGTTCTTCATATTTCAACTGGATGTTGCGATTTTCCTCTTCTAAAGAAAGCTGTTCCAGGAATTCACCATTGTCACCTACCTGTATGCAGAAACAGTGGTTCTCAGTCTAACATATCCCTTAAAACAGCACACAGAAAACAATTTACTATCAAGCAAAACTTTATGCCAGGAATGAAAAACAGTTGCCTTCAGATTAATTGTTCGATTGTGACTCCCATAACTCCTGCCCAAAGGCTTTGACGGCAAGGACAGTATTATTTGGAGCCCGCTCAAAATAATCCTGTATGTAGTGGGTTGCTTTGAGTTTTCAGGACTCTATGGTCATTTTTATTTTTGTCGTGTCAGGAGCAACTTGAGAAACTGCAAGTCGCTTCTGGTGTGAGTGAATTGGCCATCTGCAAGGACGTTGCCCAGGGGATGCCCGGATGATTTGATGTTTTTACCATCCTTGTGGGAGGCTTCTCTCATGTCCCTGCTTGGGGAGCTGGAGCTGACAGAGGGAGCTCATCCGCCTCTCCCCAGATTCGAACCTGTGACCTGTCGGTCTTCAGTCCTGCTGGCACAGGGGTTTAACCCACTGCGCCACCGGCCATGTTCCAGAAGCATTCTCTCCTGAGGTTTCGTCCATATCTATGGCAGGCATCCTCAGAGGTTGTGAGTTTTGTTGGAAACAAGGCAAGTGGGGTTTATATATCTGTGGGATAATGTCCAGGGTGGGAGAAAGAACTCTTGTCTGTTTGAGGCAAGTGTGAATGTTGCAATTGATCACCTTGATTAGCATTGAATAGCCTTGCAGCTTCAAGGCTTGGCTGCTTCCTGCCTGGGGGAATCCTTTGTTGGGAGGTGATTAGCTGGACCTGACTGTTTCCTGTCTTGAATTTCCCTGTTTTTTTAATGTTGTTCTTTACTTACTGTCTTGATTTTAGAGTTTTTTTTAATACTGACAGCCAGATTTTGTTCATTTTCATGGTTTCCTCCTTTCTGTTGAAATTGTCCACATGCCAGTGATTCTGGCCATGAAAGCCTTCAACAACACATTAATACTAGGTATGGGCAATACATGGTTCTAAATGGTTCTAGAGTACTTAAAAAGCGATGGTGCATTGCTTCTATAGTGTTGCTAAAGTTCTGGTGGTGAAAATTTCAGAACTCTAACAAAACTTTCAAAATCATGTTAAAATTGGCAGTTCCTAATTGGTTCTGTCATAAAAATAACAAATAATGAAGTAATGAAATGGCTATTTTTATGACAGAACCAATTAGAAACTGCCATTTATAACAAAAAATTGAAAGTTTTGAGTTCTGAAATTTTCACCACCAGAACTTTATCAATTTTGTTAAACTTTGTAGAAGCAAAGCACCAGAGCCCTCTAGTTTTGTAAGTACTTTAGAACCATTTAGAACATGTAGCAATTCACAGCAAACAGGTTAGTTTTGTCTATCTGGGGCAAAGCTTCTTAAACTGTGGTTCACAACTCAATTTGGGATCCCCTAAGTCAAGGGTGTCAACCCCATTTGCATTGAGGGCCACATCAGCCTTATGGCTGCCTTAAACGGGCCATTGAATCTGGGGACAGAGAATCTATGGATACAGAAGGTCAACTATATTTTTTTTACATAGGAGTCAGTGCTCTTTAGGTTTTGCATCCAGTTTAGGGAATCCAGATATTGCTGAATAACAACTCCCATCACTTTAGATTATTCACCATGTGGACTGGGGATAATGTGAATTGAAACCCAACAGCACTTGTGGATTTGAGTCTGGGGAAAGGTTAAAGGACATTTTGAAATCAGGCATCATATCTACAACTCTTATATTTAAACTCAAACCCCACTATCCTGACTAAACAGAACAAACTAAAGCCTTCAAGATATTACCGTACTACAACTACCATCAACTCTAGTCATGATTTCTAATGATGAGTAATACAGGAGCTTTAATTCAGCAACTGGAGGGTCACATAAAATGATATGGCAGACTGGATTAGGCCCGCAGGCCTTGAGTATGACACGCGTGCCCTAACTGAATGTGTGAGTTGCAAAAAATTGTGCAGTTTGCCACCTAGTGGCTATTTTAGACATTTGCATGAATCTGCTAGCAACCATGTAAAGCAAATGTTTCAGCTGTACAAATATTTGTACCTCCTTGCATTACATTGGACAGCAAATCTTTTTTTTTGTAATGCACACCTTTGAAACTGAGGTGCACATTCTATTTGATAGTGCATTAGACTCAAATTAATACAATATTTACACTTGTTTGTGTACAAATGTATCAGGAAAAAAGAAGTCGCAGGTGGAAAAAGTTTAAGAAGCCCTGGTCTAGAGTAACATAAATGGAAAATAGGGATTTCCTATATCCGTGGCTAAGCTGGGCACATCATGAGCTCATCCCACTGTGCTTGGAGATCAAATCCAGTCCTTGTGGTTCTATTCTATGTCCCATTCTCTTCTAAAGGAATGGACCTTTTCTCTGTTGCCATGCTTGTCTCAAGAGGCCCTTTCACCACACAGTTATAATGTTATGATTCCACTTCTGCAGCCACTCCAGGAAAAAATAATAAAGAAAAACTGAATGATATTAAGAATAAGAAAAAAGTGGAATCAAAACAAGAAACATACAAATTACATTCTGAATTGAAATTTATTACGTTGAATTTCACACCACTCAAAATTTTTAAAATAGAATTTCAGTGCATGGACATTTCATAGTTTCTTTACTATCTATCTCGCTTTTCTCCCCTCATATTGCTACTTCTAAACACTATTAATGTGTAAGTCATTGAGGGGGCCTAAGGGGTTCCGCCATAGAAATTGATTCTAAAAAGAGCTCCGTGAGTCAAAAAGATTAGGAACCACTGATCTACAAATTTCAGGCTTGAGAACTATGCAAATGAGTAACAAACAAATGTTTTAAGTATGTTTTAAATATGTTCACAATTTTGTGTTGGTGTCCTGGGCCACAGCTTGGCAAAGTCTGATCTAGAGATTCCTAGAGAGATGAGTGAAATTTGCAAAAGGTAAACCTGCACATGTGGAATACTGTACATTTTAGGGTTAAATTCCAAAATGTTGTCCAACTGCAGCTCCCAGAACTCCTTACCATTAACTGCTGGGAACTGCAGTACAGCAACGTAGTGCCACATAGTTCTCAATGAATTACTGACTAGTGAGTTAATAGTTATAAAACCCCACAAATTTAACGGGTTTACTTTAGCTGGCATTAGCAATGGGGCCCCTGAGCTCCTTCCACAAAGGTTTAGATGTTTTACAGATTAAGTATTATCCACCAAGCACCTGGACCTGTAGCTCCCTAATGGCTTTGGATTTATCTACGCAGCTCTTTTGGCAGGACAGTAGGCTTTCCTGACATGTCCACAGTTTCCCTTCAGCTGCTTTCTGTGTGTCACGGACACGTTCTAAGTCCTTCAAGCAGGCCTCTGTCTGGTCCCTCACCTGACGGGGGCAGGAGAATGAGAGAGAGAAAGAGAAATAAGATTCAAGCTGTCATAAATAAAAAACACTGAACATAAGAAAAATGCAAAATAGGTTGCCTGCACTTACTGCTTCCATTTCATTATCTATTTCTTCTGTTATCATTCTGTTCTCACTGAGGACCTTTTCATACTTAGTTTTCAATTCCCTAGCTTCCATTTCTCTTTTCACTACCTAGAATAAAAGTGGGGTTTACAGAGAAGAATATATTTTGTGTGTGCAATAGGACGATTTTTTTTACACAAAGATTTGCTAAGAGCATGTAATAACTACTCTCCACACATACAATCTAACAAATCTAGAGCTGAGCTGCAGAATGACAGGTTGCTTACCTGTAACTGCATGTCTTCAAGTGGTCTTCTGTGAATTCACACATTTGAGCAATCTGAGCAGGCGCAGAGCACAGTTTGGAACCTTCTAGATTCACTAGGCACCGTTTTGATGATAACTCCACTTATCATCCCGAGGCTATGTAAGTATCGGTCAGTGCTGAAACCCCAGTTCCTAGGCTTCAATCTATTAAGGCCTGAGGTGGCAGAACCGCTTTGTGGAGAGGATGGGTGGGACTATGTGAATTTACAGATGACCACTCAAAGAAATACAGGTAAGCAACCGATCCTTTTTCATGGTCTCTGTGAGTCATGCAATTGGGTGACTAGCAAGCAAAAGTTATTGGCGGTGGGAGTCATGACACACAGCAGACCATCACATTTGGTACGAATAAAAAAGGTTTATTCACTCTGAACGATATATCCTAACAAAAGTCTGATGAAAAAATGTGAAATATATCATACAACACATGTATAACGATCGTTTGATGTCAATGTATCATCAATAAAGTATGCATGAATATACTTGCAGAGATGTACAAAGCAAAGATTTGAAAAGCGCTGACTCTTTGCAATCCTTTGTGCATGTTATCACACGTAAAGTGCTCAGTGTGCATCACACAAGGCATGAACATGAATTCAGATCAGATAAACTTGTATAGTCAGGATAACCATTCAATACATTCAGTAAACCTGTCTGTGAAGGTTGCATAGCAAATAAAACACATAAAGTTGCCTTCAAAACTGTCCCACAAGGGGTGAGGGGAGTTATGAAACACATGACAGAGTGACCGGCTGACAGGTTTCGGCGGCAACCGGATCTTATATTTCCTTAGGATGGCGGGCAAGGTTACTACCAAAACCTTTCTTCCTAGTGATTCTATAAGTTTCTGAACAGTGCTCTGCACCTGCGCAGATTATTCAATTGTGTGATTCACAGAGACCATGAAGAACTGAAGTTTCAGAAATAGTACAGCACTCAATCACACAATTTGCAAATAGACATGCTGGATTTTTAAGAAAAACCACTGAGCCATGTGGCACCTTGAAGACAAGCCAATTTTAGTTTCATGAAATCCAACCCTCTACATCAGACGCGAGGAGTATTGGCCACGTTAGCAGATTGTTACGTCACCACACATATATATGATAACATTAGCCAAAACACATTTTGGTGCCTCAAATGTTAGACCGGTGTCTGAGTATATTTGACCTATTGATTCCAAAAATGGCATTAGTTTTCCTGTATCAGCTCTAGTTTTTGAGAGACAGGGCATATGCTATCGATTAGTTTTCATCTGCTCACCCATAGAAACCTCATAACCATATCTAAGAACCTAGAGCTGATGCAGTCTATCCAATGCCATTTTCAGAACCAGCACTCCATATAATCCCAGGAACAGGTCTAAAAAGCAAGACATTAAGAATTGGTGTGTGTGTGTGTATGGGGGGGGGGGGTGTAATCTGAGGCAATAGTGGCAATCTTCCATGGATCTGATTAAATGGATATTCACCCATGAAGGCATGAACGAAATAAAATTGATTAAGTCTTTGAAGCAGCAGTAGAACTGAATGGGGTTAAGGACCAATTGTTTTCACACTGCCCCCATAGGCTGCACTTCATTCATTCATAGTAAGTACAAATGCTTTTGTTTTTCTCTGCAATCCTTCTCAAAATGGCGACTGTGGATGTTACCATTTTGAGAGGGACTGTAGAAAATAGCATCTTGGAGTAGTGTGTTGGTAAAGCAGTTATGAGGGCAGTGTTTTCATACATTTCTGGGGCATCTTCTGTGGATTCCTGTCACAATTTTAATAAGAAATTTTGTAGATAAGACCAAGCCTTCAGTTCCTCTATTTTTCCAAGATTTTTGTGGCAAGTGAGGGACTTCAGTAGATACAAAAGTGTGCACTCTGCCTACTCTTGCTTTGAAAACAATGTCTTTACTTTAGCAGACTGTCATGGCTATCCTGGGGCCTTTGGATGTCCGTATAGGAATGTAAAATGTTACAGTCAAATTATTATTATTATCATTATTATTACTATCTTTACTTATACCCCACCTTTCTCCCTGTGGGGTCTCAAGGCAACTAACAATCCACACCAGACAAGTTTAAAAAGTTAAAAACAATAAAATATAACAGTGGGGTAAAAGCAGAAGTAAAATACAATAAATACACTGAAATGGCATTTAAAACTCATATCCTCCGCTCATCCCAATGTGGACATCCAAAGGCCTTTGGACATGGGAGTGGGCTAGGCATACTCCCCCACCCTTCTGTACACAGAGTGGGAATACCAGCCAGCAAGGATCCAAAGCCTATACAAGCAGCTGTACATCTTACCTCGTTTTTATAGTGTTCAACCAGCTCTTCTTGCTGCTGTGCCTTTTCATGCAGGTCTAAAACTTCTGCTTCTGCAGAAGTAACACTCATTTCCAAAGCAGAAAGAGATGCCTGAAATAAGAATTTATTTATTTGTTTGTAGTATTTACATTCCGCCCATCTCACCCCGAAGGGGAATCAGGGCGGATCACAGAACATACATTCAGTGCCATTTTATACACAACTACACAGACAATGATACATAGATAAAAGGTACATCTATTGGGTTTTCCCCATGTTTCGGCATCTTTGGAAGGTGTTGTTCTCGATTCCGGCCATGGGGGTGGGGGGGGGAGGGTCTGTCGTTCCATCTCCCTACTGAAGAGCTAGTTTGTAACTTCTTCCTTTTGGATTGAATTGCTGGCATTCCTTCTGGTGACTCAGAATACCTCCTTGCTTTTTTATGAGCGGTACCTATTTATCTAATCACATTTTTGCTTTTATCTGCTAGGTGGGCAGAAGCTGGGCTAAAGACCAGGAGCTCACCCTGACCCGGCTTTGAAATGGCAGCCTTTCGACTGACAGCTGGTGTTTAATCTGTTGTGCTAAAGGTGGCCTTGCTGTGCAAAAGCTCTTTGCAGGAATGCTATCAGAAGTGGCTTAACTGCATCATGAAAATAGGACCTGCAGATGTTTTGTACAGTATATATAAAATTATTAAAATGTCATGTAGTTTTACATATAGTTTCATTTAAGTTTTATATGTAAAACTAAGGTTAATATGTATCAGCCAAATAGGTTTCCAATTAAATACCAAAATGAGGAAAACATTTTATGCAGATTGATCTAGTTCCATTTGTTTTATATGGAAAACTGAGATTAATATGCATTAGCCAAATAAGTTTCCACATTAGTACCAAGATGAGGAAAACATTCCTCTGCGGAATGACTTATAGTTCCATTTAAGACAATAGGAAGGCAGTTGTAAACTTCCTCTCAACACATCTAGCCAAGAAAATCCTAGGATAGGGTCAACATGAGGTATTTAACTTGAAGGGGGGCTGTAACAATAAATGAACATTAAATAAAAAATGTACAAATATTTCAGAGTGCGGCTTAAAAATAATAATGAGAATGACAGCTGAAATTAAGCCTGAGGAAATAGTTCTCTTTTAATTTTTAACTGTCTTCTAGAAATTAAGGGATTAAAAATGAGCTGTCCCCTTATTTGGAGTAGTCTGTTGATGAACTTATTTATTTATTTATTATTGATGAACTTACCTTTAATGTTGCATTTTCAAGGGAAATCTTTTCATTTTCAGAGACGATAGCATTAATCTTTCCAAGAATCTCATTCCTTGACTTTCTCAAAGAATCTTGAATTCTTCTGAGGTCCATCATATGGTCTGTGACCTGTCTTTAATAGGTCAAACACAACTTCTGCAGCAGTCAATACACACAAAGCAATTCCATCAACAGAAATTAAACTTTGCTTTTCACTCTGGTGTGCATTTTCATATTTATCACATGCTATGAAAGTAATATTTAGGGAAGTGGTTCCCAAACCTTTTTTTTGACCAGAGACCACTCTCCAACATTAGTACCATTATTTGGGGTGCTGGATCAGTAAATTGCATTGAATAGATCACATCAGTTGTAGTTTCTGAAACAGAACATATGCCATCCAGTAGTTGCCATCTATTTGCCCACAAAAATCATATTTAATAAACTTCGGCACTATAAGAGGGTTTTGCGAGACCAGTCGCTCTCGTTGCAATGGTGTCATAACAGTGAAGTCGTGAATCATATTTTAGTTCTTGCGGACCACTGGTGGTCCACAGACCACAGGTTAGGAACCACTGATTTAGGGGGGTGGTGGAGGAGGATCTGAAATGCCTAAAAGCACTGCTATAGGTCATCTTCAGAATAAAGTATTTCTACACTTTGTTACTATTGTTGTTTGATGACCTTACGGGTAGTTTTAAATCTTGGGGCAACAATAATGTCACATAATTCTCCTAACACAGGAGTAGAGAATGGAAATTCAAGTAAGAAACTGACAGGGTTCAAAGGCATAAATGCATGCTTCAGACTTCTTAACCTTTCTCAAAAGATTGGGAATAGTATAGCTCAGGAAAAAAACAGTTTAAAAAGTTGGAGATAAAGCTAGTTTGTTACAGAGCATTTAGATGTTTTGACATAGTTTTTCAGCTACTGAAATTTCCTTTCAAAGCTTTTAGCAACGTTTACAGAAAGTTCCCATCACGATGAAATAAAGCCCTATAAGTTTTAGAAAATAACAATGTAACCATGGATTGTGGTTAATCATTTTTGCCATTTCTTTCCAGAGCACTCTTATATATTATGTTAAGTATCAAAATACCAATTGAATATGCTGTATATTTTAGTTTCCAAAAAGGAAAACATCCCAAACAAACCCCATTTTAACTCAGTAAGCATTCTTTCTTGCATTTGAGATTAATCGTCTAACTGTAATTTATATTTCCAACCACAAAAAACGATGACATCAATTCTTACCTTTACCAATTCAGTGTGTGTATTTTTGTTATTGATTTACTGGATAAATGGAATCATGGAAATGAATGCAGGGGCTTTTTAACCAATAAAGAAACCATCTTTCTAGTATTTTAAGATGTGTTTCCAGTTTTTTCTATGGATTTCATTGGGTGAAGCCCACTTTCAGCTTTCATCATAAAGACTGAGGCTAAAGTACCAGATGTATGGACACAACGGGGAAAGGCACTGTCAGCAATGGCTTATTCTCCAGTCCCCATTCAGTAGTCATGGACCCCTGGAAAAGGCCTCACCAGAAGAACTGAAAACAGGGGGAAATGCAAATAGAAGCAAGTTTTTTGAGGTACCAAAGTGCTAAGCTTTATAGGGTTTTTAGAAAGTGTGCGCCGGCACCTTGACCTGAAGCCAAAAGAAACATTTCAACTGTCCAAATACATCATCTGTATTATGTAGAACTTGTGCATACAAAATTATGCATGAAATTTGCAGAATAAAGTAACAAACATAATAGAGAAGAGCAAACCTGTTCGCCAAGCTGCATTTTAAAATAAATACACATATACATAAATAGACTGATGCTTTCCAAAGGGCTACAATATAGGCACTTACTTTTCCAGACTTTCAACTTGAACTTCTAACCTGTTTTTTTCATCGACTACTGTCTCGTGATGACTTTTCCAGACATTTGAAGCCGAAAGCACCTCAGACAATTGGATTTCCTGGAGAGTGTGCAAAAACATAGACCATGTATTATAAAAAAAACTTACTTTCGAATTCTGCCCAATTCCCTAAACACAGGAGGTATTTTCATTCAAGGCGGTTTCCAAGTTTCCTGCAGGAGGACAGAATAATATAAACTCAAATCTTAACATAAACATACCACTGCCAAACTTGGAAAAACTCTAATGTACTGGAATCATCAGGGATTTAGGTTTTCCTAACCTCATGGAAAAGCAAAAAATTTAAAGCCACTGACTAGAAGCATATTCCCAAATAAGAATATTTTCAAGTCTAGAAACTCTGTCAACACAAAGTGAGGACATGCCTGCAAACTTTTAATTACAGAGGATTGTGTAAATTACATTTCCGTCACTGTTTTCCTGGTGCCTGAAGACAAGAATTAGTGGCGCTTGCACTTCAACTGCCTCAGATTCCTGATTGGATGGTACTCATGACATCACCGACAAGCAAGAACATAATACAATCACAATGGGAATTCTAAAACCACTCTTCCAAACCCAGCTTTGTATTCAGGCAACAAATAAGGCAACAAATAATTCAATTTAGGCAACTGAACAGACTGATAGAAATAGGATATGCACTCCTTATAGGTTATTCGATGTACTTGCACTGCATTATGAAAAAAACCCAACATTTCGCTTTCTACTCAGCAATAGAATGTAGCACATTTCGCTTTCGGCATCCATACCTTGCACTTAGCAAAGAAAAATATGTAGCAAACCACATGTACATTTGAAAAATGGGCATGTATTTGGAAAATGTGAGCAAAAGCACTTGGGGCAAGAGAAATTATGCATGGCCTAAATCCAATTGCTACTTCCAACTACAACAGCCCTGATGAATCGATTGGTAAATGGCAACCAACACCTAAATAATTCACCCTAATTCAATGGGTCTATTCTAGGTGGGATGAGAAAGTGATTTTAGGCCTAATAAACATGTTACATTAAGGAAAATGTGTATGAAAATGTCTAGGAGTTCCCATGCAAAAAGAAAAGGACCTGAGTTTCATTACCAAATACAGTATTTCCTCCCCATTTGTAGTTCTGACTTTTGCGGGCTTGATTATTCACAGATCTGAGTGGACACCTCTTTTAGTTTTTTAAAAAATAATTATTTAATTGAAACAACTTTTAAAAATTCCTGGAAATCAGTAAATGAACAAATCTTTCTGAAACTTTGCAGGATTGATGCCTTGCTTATGTTGTCCTTTGTGCAGAAATTCTAGGAGACACCTTTGTAGTTTTTAAATTTTTTTGTAAAACCTTTTTAAAATGCCTAAAAATCAGTAAATATTCTAAAACTTGGAAGGCTTAAAGTCGTAAATGTTTTCTTGTATGTGTGCCAAGTTTCATCCTGTTAGCAATATAAATGACAGAGAAACGAGTCTCACAATTTCCCCCACTGCTGCTAATGGAAGGAATCTTAATGAAGCAATCACGAAAATTTGAAGATCTGGATTACGAATCGAAAGGGGACCCTTCTGAATCTTTATGAATTGAAGCGGAGGCCATCTGAATCTCCGAGATGAGTTATTAATCAGATTCCAGCCGTTTTGCACACCTCTAGTGTCTCTCTGGTAAAAAAAAAAGCAATTTATTTGCGATTTTTCACTTTGATGGGGGTCTTTTGTCCCTAACACCAGTGAATGTCGAGGATTGACAGCCTGGACCTGAGACTGAACAAGGATGGTGAGAAATTTCTAAAACACACAAATGAGACTGACAAATTTCCACATCTCTTGATCCATTCCTCTAATGCATCCAGGATATAAATCAAACAACCATCTACTAGAATAAGGAGGCCCTCTCTTCAATCCCCACTTTAGAAACACTCCTTTGCTAGGCCACAAGTCATGCTAAAAAATTTTTTCTTTGCTTGAGAGTAAATGTTGCAGACTTATTTATAAGGCTGCAATAGAGCCTCATTTTAGCTAACCAGAATAAACTGAGTAGAATAACAGACCAACACAATGAAAAACAAGTCAAGAAGATTTCAGTTGTTAAAACTGCACAGCATCACCACCAAGACCACAGTCAATCAGAGTTGTTCTAAGAAATCTGGGATGTTTCACTCAACATCATCCCAAACAAATGCCCCCAAACTATTTTAAACTAGAGAGGCGAAAATACAATCAACACATCAACCAATGTTTTCATTTTTCTTTAAATGACTGCACATTTGCAACAAATCAACTATATATCACTATGAAGAAAGAAAGCAATTCATGAAAACTGGAAGTAATTTGCATGCAGAGTAGGGAAACCAACTACATGACCAAAGTGTGCAAAACAGCATCTACAACGTGTATACTAATTTCATCACATGAAAGTTTGCCCTCAGTTATTCAAAAACAGAAAGTAAAAGGAAGAGAAAGAAAATAGACTGCAGATGTGTTTCTAACTGGCCACTTTCATTTCTTTTGAAGGACTCACAAGCAGATCTTCGTTTTTCCAAAAACCATCAGAAGTCTGGAGATAAGAGGCTTTCAAGGTGTCCCAAAACATACAGACTTACAACCAATTACTAAGTGTACCTCCACAGTTCGGAGTGCTTTAAAGACAATCTGGTTTCTAATTTAGGCAATCTAATGATACATTTCTATTAATTTTATAGAGATAGTAGGAAAATGACATGGGTGTGAATCATGAAACTAAGCTTTACAGCAGGTATAGGCAAACTTTTTTGCCCTGAGTCCTAACTGCAGGCCAGGCCAGTAGGGAGCGTGAGGTGGGCCCAGGAGAGTCGTGGCTAGGGTGGGGCTAGTCCCGGAGGAGGTGGGGTGGGGCATGGCCAGGGGTGGCGGGAAGTGGCCAGGGGAAGATCACCCTCTGGCTTTCCTCCCAGCATAAGGATGAAGCTGCTCACCCCATCCTTATGCTGGGAGGAGGGTGAGGCCTTGGAGCTCCCTCGTCCCTCGCTTGCCTCTCCCTTCTGCCAGCATCAGGATGGGACTGCTCCTCATTCTGATGCCGGAAGAAGGGAAGGATGAGGGTTAGAGTTAGGTTTGGAGCTCCTTCAGTCCCCGCCTGCCTTCTCTGCCAGATCAGGCTTCTCCTGGCATCAGGATGGGGCCGTGCCACGTCCTGACACTGGGACAAGGGAGAGGCAGGTGAGAGCCAAGGGGACTTTGCAGCCACCTCGCCCACTGCCTGCTTCTTTCCCTGGACTAGGCTTCTCCCAGCATCAGGACAGGGTTGCTCAACCCATCCTTATGCCATGAGAAGGGCTCGAAGAAGGATTCCCAGCCACTGCATCCATTCATCCATCATTTTGACATAAGGATGCAGCGACTCGCCACTTCCTTCGGCCCAGAAGACAGGGAAAAATTGGAGGGCTGGGCATAAGCGCCCAGAGGTCTATATCCAGCCTGCAGGCCTTAGTTTGCCCATGCCTGCTTTAGAGGCTGATCTTCAAGGGCTGGTTCCTGTAGTTTTTGACTTCATTAGGTCTCCACATCTGTATGGTCTAATCTGAAGATTAACACTTGAACGAGCAAAGGAAAAAATACTTAAAAATACAGATAAAAAGTTACATAAAACAAATGGTCCATTACATCATTTTTTATAGAAATGGTCTAGAGAGTCTATACAATGAGATATTATAAATAAATATTAAGACAGGCTAGAATGTATTTATGTTTTTAGAAGGGGACTGTGGAGGAGGAGAGACACCTGCCAAACACACACACACACACACACACACACACAGGAAGACTTTCTGCTCATTTAAGGCAGGGATTCCTTTGGTTTTTCAACACTTAAAAGTCCTGTACTATGTTGGCTGGTGTTTCTGGGAGCTGAAATCCAATGCAATGAAAGGACCAAGGTGGAGAATCAAGGCTCTACAGCAGTGGTTCTCAACCTGTGGGTCCCCAGGTGTTTTGGCCTACAACTCCCAGAAATCCCAGCCCGTTAGGACTTCTGGGAGTTGAAGGCCAAAACATCTGGGAACCCACAGGTTGAGAACCACTGCTCTACAGCATTGCTGGGGGCTGAGTGAGGGTTATCTAGAGTTTCCCATCCATAAACATTAATTGTGATAAGATTAGATGTTTCCAATTCCATAGTTGAACTTGAGATAAATGACTTCTTGGGGCACTGTCTGACATTGGGGCCTAAGCAAAGGCGCCACTATTGTAGACTATGGTTTGGTGAAATAATCCTTGAAGAGTCTAAAGTTCTCAGGCTAATCACAATCTGAATGCATTTGTGGTGCCTGGAATAATAACCCTCATCTTGACATCACCAATGAGGCCATAGCAGCACGTCACTTTATAAGCCTGTGCAGTCAGCCTTCTGTACTCATAGATCCTGAATCCATGATTCCACCATTCATGTCTTGAAAATATTTTTCTAAAAACAATCTCAAAAACAAATCTTGATTTTGCTGTTTTATATAAGGGACACCATTTGATTATATCATTGTGTATAATCGGATGTGAGCATCCACATATTTTGATATCCACAGAGGGCCTTAGAAACAAACCCCAGTGGATTTTTTTCCTGTCAGGAGTGACTTGAGAAATTGCAAGTCGCTACTGGTGTGAGAGAATTGACTGTCTGCAAGGACGTTGTGCAGGGGATGTCCAGATGTTTGATGTTTTACCATCCTTGTGGGTGGCTTCTCTCATGTCTCCACATGGGGAACTGGAGCTGACAGAGGAAGCTCCACTCGCTCTCCGTGGATTTGAACCACTGACCTGTTGGTCAGCGGTCCTGTCAGCACAAGGGTTTAACCCATTGCACCACATAATAAAGACCCAGTATATTATGAAAATGTGATGTACTTCTTGGGGTAGACAAAACTAACAAAACACATTCTTGAAAGTAAAGTTCCTGTACTATGTGTCCCAGGCAATAATTCTTTATAGATATTGTCTTCATTCTTTTGAAACAATAGGTTCCTTGCCAACTACTCACCTTGTCCCTAATTTTGGAAATTAAGCCCTCCACAACTGCTTTCAAATGTTCAGCTCTCTGTTTCTGAACACTAGCTGCCCTTCTCAGTGCCTTCTTTCTCTCCTCTCTTCTTTCCTTCTCAGCCAAAATGTGCTGCTTATGTTCTGTGACTTGTAGCTTCCATTCAGCAATCTTCTTTTCAATAGTCTGCAGCAGAAGGAAGGAAACGTCATTGTATATTCCAAATGCAAACGTGCACAGTTGGAGCTGGCTAAGAGAGTGGAAACTGAGTGCATGGGGATGTGTGTGCAAGTGGATGCATTGGTAATTAAAGCAACATTTTTCCTTTTAAAAAGGCAGTTAAAGGCATCTCAACTCAGTTCATCAGAGCATCTAAGACAACTGATTTACATTAAACATATGGGTTAGTTCAATTAGTTTGCCAAGACTGCTTAAAATTTACAGCTGAGCACATGCCGAAGTATTTAGAAGAAGGGCCTCTGCAGAATGATGAAGAACTGAAGTACTTGGTGGCACCATGATCCCATGAAGTGACTTAAGATAATGATGACGACGACAACCACAACAACAACAAAAGAAATAATAAATGTATTACCCACTAACCCTTGCTGCTCGAGGCCGTAATAGAAATAGATTGTATATTTGGAGCTCATATTTGCAGGTGGATTTCAGTATTATGACGTCTCTTGTTGTTGTTCATTCGTTCAGTCGTCTCCGACTCTTCGTGACCTCATGGACCAGCCCACGCCAGAGCTCCCTGTCGGCCGTTACCACCCCCAGCTCCCTCAAGGTCAGTCCAGTCACTTCAAGGATGCCATCCATCCATCTTGCCCTTGGTCGGCCCCTCTTCCTTTTGCCTTCCACTTTCCCCAGCATAATTGTCTTCTCTAGGCTTTCCTGTCTCCTCATGATGTGGCCAAAGTACTTCAACTTTGTCTCTAGTATCCTTCCCTCCAGTGAGCAGTCGGGCTTTATTTCCTGGAGGATGGACTGATTGGATCTTCTCACAGTCCAAGGCACTCTCAGAACTTTCCTCCAACACCACAGTTCAAAAGCATCTATCTTCCTTCGCTCAGCCTTCCTTATGGTCCAGTTCTCACATCCGTAGGTTACTACGGGGAATACCATTGCTTTGACTATGCGGATCTTTATTGCCAGTGTGATATCTCTACTCTTCACTATTTTATTGAGACTGGACATTGCTCTCCTCCCTAAACACAGTTTGAAACACAGTATAATGAACACTTCTCTACAGCAGTAATCTTTGCACCTAGAAATACAAAGTCTGTCACGGCCTCCACGGTTTCTCCCTCTATTTTCCAGTTGTCAATCATTCTTGTTGCCATAATCTTGGTTTTTTTGACGTTTAGCTGCAACCCGGCTTTTGCGCTTTCTTCTTTCACCTTGATTAGAAGGCTCCTCAGCTCCTCCTCGCTTTCGGCCATCAGAGTGGTGTCATCTGCATATCTGAGGTTGTTAATGTTTCTTCCAGCAATTTTCACCCCATGACGTCTCTAGGAATCTCTATATCCTCTATGGACAATGTTTGCCAGAACCCTCATTGACACCATAGGAGCCCCTGGTGGCGCAATGGGCTAAACACTTGTGCCAGAAGGACTGCTGACCAAAAGCTTGGCGGTTCAAATCCGGGGAGCAGGGTGAGCTCCCATCTGTCAGCTCCACCTTCCAATGTGGGGACATGAGAGAAGCCTCCCACAGGATGGTAAAACATCTGGGTATTTTATTTATTTATTTATTTATTTATTTATTTACCGTATTTATATATTGCCTTTCTCAGCCCAAAGGTAACTCAAGGTAGCTTACAGTTGGCACAATTCAATGTCCCCAATGACATAAATTAGCATTAAAACAATTGACATATAATATAAAATCATATAAAACCAGTAAAAATATAAGTCCTCAGTGTCTCATTACTAAAAACATTTTCCAATTGCATTGTACAGTCATTCTGTTGTTTGTTGCTTGTGTTTTGGTTTTATTTTACAGTAATTTCTTGCTTGGGCTTGGCCTCATATAAGCCACCCCGAGTCCCCGTTGGGAGTGACAGTGGTGGGGTATAAATAAAGATTATTATTGCTATTATTATTATTTTTATTATTATTATTATTATTATTATTCTGTGGGTCTAAATTTGCCAGTTACACTTTATTTGCAAACTCTTGCTCAAAAAGCCAGGTTTTGACTTGTTTTCGAAATGTTAGGAGGGAGGGAGCCAATTTAATGTCACTAGAAGGGATGTTCCACAGCCAAGGGGCCACCGCTGTGAAGGCCCTGTCTCTCGTCCCTGCCAACCGCATCTGCAAAGACGGCAGGAGCGAGAGCAGAGCCTCCTCAGAAGATCTTAGAGTCCTAGAAGGTTCATAAGGAGAGATGCATTCGGACAGGTAAACTGGGCCAGAACGTTTAGGGTTTCCCCTGGACAACATCCTTGCAGACAACCAATTCTCTCACACCAGAAGCGACTTGCTGTTTCTCAAGTCGCTCCTGAACGGAAAAAAAATCAAGACCATATAACACAATACTGAATTTGCAAGATATTTTTCCCCAGCAGTTCACAGAGAGACTCGAAAGCGTGCTGAGGCTGCAGTGCTATTCATATCTCAAAACCAAGGCCAATTAAAATGTGTTGTTTTTTTTCACACAGAGGACAGGGTGGTCTTTGAGGAATCAATCCTGCTGACACCAGTCCTGTGACGAAGCCAAGGTGTGGATCCAATTATCTTTACGATGGAAAATCTGCAAGCAGAGTCATTTAGCATTAATAGCACCACCAACAAACAAAGCAAGCTTAGAGGTGCAGAGGTATTATTTGCATTGGACTGCTCAGTTCGAAGATGTTGCCTGCAGCAACATTTTTAACCTATGGGTCCAACACAAATGTACTGATTCAATATGTCTGCTTCTGTGAGCTCAAACAAGCCACTAACACCTCAGAGAGAACATGCCTGAAGACAGTGAGCCCTGCCAAGCCAAATGCAGACTACCTATAATGTAAGGAAGCCCAGCAAAGCCATGATAAAGTCTCAGTTTTTCCCCCTGCTTGCAATTGCATACTCAGGTAGTATGCTTTACGGCTAGCTCCGACTCTGGAGCCCAGGGTTTGAATCCCTGCTTGGCTATGGAAACCAAATGGGTGACTTTTAGCAAGTCACATCCTCTCAGCCTTAGAGGAAGGAAAAGGCAATCACCTTCTGAACAAATCTTTCCAAGAAACCCTCGTGATAGGTTTTGACCTACAAAGCCCTGAACGGTTTGGGACCCACGCCTACCTGCGGGACTGCATTTCTGTCTACGAACCCACACGACCTCTTTGATCTTCCGGAGAGGCCCTTTTCTCGCTCCTGCCCACATCGCAAGTGCGACTTGTGGGGATGAGAGAGAGGGCCTTCTTTGTAGTGGCCCCCCGGCTCTGGAATTCACTCCCCAGAGATATTAGGCAAGCCCCCACGCTGGCAATCTTCAGGAGGAACCTGAAAACCTGGTTATTCCAATGTGCCTTCAATGATTGAATGTAAGACACTCCCTGACCAAACTTTGCATAAAATGACCTCAGAAGCACTTTATTTTATGGTTCGTGCAATTAAATCCTTCCTCATCCCCAGATCCCCCTCCCCGACAGTTTTCATTGCCCTATCTCCCAGTGTTTTAAAATTTTATCTTTGAATTTGGCCCTGCCCAGTGTAATTCCTTTGTGTTTTAATGTTTGATTTTATATTGCTGTGTCGTCTATTATATTGGTTTTGTATTTTATGTATTTTTATTTTCTGGTTTTGTTATGCTTTTGTGTAATATTGTGTTTATTGTACTGATGGGTGTGGCCTCATGTAAGCCACCCCGGGTCCCCCTGGGGGAGATGGAGCGGGGTATAAATAAAGTATGATGATGATGACTATTATTATTATTATTATTTATTATAGGTTCACCATAAGGCAGAAATTACTTGAAGGCATATGACAACAATGCAACAAATACACTAAAGGATACAAAGTTGTTTGTCTGGGCTGACCATAGATACTCATTAGCAACAATAGGTGGCCAATGGATTGTGCTGAGGTTGGTAAACTATAAGTTATACAGGCCGTGTTCTAACAACTAATGGAATTACCCATCATAAGAAAATGTAACTGCTATTTCCCTCATCGCCACAAGATGGCAGCAGCACAGTGCTAGAATTCTTGCAGCAAGTTTAACACAAGCTTCAAAACACCAGCCAGTTTGGTACATGAAGCCATAAAGACTATCAAAATGGTATAAAAATATCTCAAATAAGTGTTGGAAATGTAACCACCAGATTGGCACTTTCCGAACGTATCTCGGCCTATCAGCCCACCAGGACCCTAAGATCTTCTGGGGAGGCCCTGCTCTCTATCCCGCCTGCTTCACAGGTGCGGCTGGCGGGGACGAGAGACAGGGCCTTTTCTGTGGTGGCCCCTCGGCTTTGGAACGCCCTTCCCATGGAGGTAAGATCAGCCCCCTCGCTGATGGTGTTTCGAAAAAGATTGAAGACCTGGATGTTCGAACAGGCATTCGGTTAACTCGGTGCAATGAATTTGATGATTAAAGGATTGGTAATATGGACGACAAAATTGGATTACGATTTTAGTTAGGAGATGCATTGGATTGTTACTGATGGGCCAATATTGTGTATTGTGTATGATGTTTTTTATGGTTTTAAACTGAATACTGTTGATTGTTGTATTTTGTTGTAAACCGCGTTGAGTCGCCAGTTAGGCTGAGAAACAGCGGTATACAAGTACAGTAATAAATAAATAAATAAATAAATAAATATCTACCAGGAAATTCAAAAAATATTAAAAATTAGAATCAAGCTGGAACCGGAATACTACCTACTAGGGATGTTAAACTTAGACAAAAAAAAAAGGTATTAAAATTTTATGTACAGCAGCAAGGATAGTGTATGCAAAAATTGGAAATTAAAAGAAATACCATCAATAGCAGATTGGCAACATAAAATATTAGAAATAATGAATATGGACAGGCTTACATATTGGATAACACCAAATCATGTTTACCTAAAAAACAGATGAATTGGGACCCAGTAAAAAATTACCTTAAACATTCAAGATTGGAATTAAGAATATAGAAGAAAAGGAAATAAGAACTAGGGGTGAGAGCCTCTCAGGATATCAAGTGGACAGATGGGGATTTTTGTACTATTAAGAAGATGAAGAAAAAGGAAACTACATAATTACCCGACTACCGAAGAGGAGATGGAAATCACAGTCAACATTATTATTTTTTGCTTTTCTCTCCCTTTTCTTCCTACTGTTCTTTTACTCAATTGTTCCCCCACTTTATATGTATACTGAAAATACCCTTTCCCAGCCCCTTTTATGTTGAAGAATTCATATCAGCTTAACATGAATGTTGTGGGGTAATACCCAGCTGTTTCAATCTTGATGCAGGTAAGTAGAGTGTACTGTGGGTATGCATACACAAAGCTTGCACAAGTATTGAAGATGGGAAAAATAACCAGTAATAATTTTGTAATTTAAAAAAAAATCCACTTCTACTGTTTTTTAATTCTCTAACCATACAAATAAGCCAATAAAATTTAACATTTAGTAGTTTTTCTAAAAGAAGAAAACCATTTTATATATCATATAAACATCTGACATTATTTCGGTAATGATCAATACATCTACACCCTGTTGTTAGTCTGCAGCACAACAGAACCATTGAATCAAGTGGACTTATCTATGTGTTGAGTCATTATTTAACTAGAGACTTAATGATCTACTCTAGTTGGGAGCTACCAACTGGATTCCAGACAGAGTATGTTTTATATGTTACCAACTTGGGTACCTGGCATTGCCCGGATTATCTGAAAAAGTCATTTTTTTTAATTGTATGAAATGCATAAGGTTGTGGATTAACTACAACTGACATTATGCCAGGTTAACCCCGAGAAACTTATGTTGGGCAAATTTGCTGTAGATGCCGCATTGGTGGAGTTCAGTATATTCTCTGGTTGTAGGGTAAACTACAACTCCCACTAGGCTGAATCAGTCCCCTCAAACTCCTCCAGTAGGTTGAGTTAGTCATGGGGGTTCTGTCTGCCAAGTTGGATCCAGGTCCATCATTGGTGGCGGTCAATTTCTCTGGTTATGGGTGAACTACAACTCCCAGAAAGGAAGTTCAGTTCCTCCCAAAGCCCTCCAGTAATCAAATTTCAACGTATCAGGTATGTGTGCCAAGTTTGGTCCAAATCCATTGGTGTTTGGGTTCACAGTGCTCCCTGGATGTACGTGAACTACAACTCCCTCAAATTAAGGTCAATTCCCCCCAAAGATCGCCAGTATTTTTGCTGGTCATGGGGGTCCTGTGTGCCAAGTTAGTTCCAGGTCCATTGTTGGTGGAGTTCAGAGTGCTTGTCAACTGCAGGTGAACTACACATCCCAGTACCTACAACTCCTATAAATCATGGGGAATTCTCCACAAACCTCTCTAATATGTTCAGTTGCTGATCAATTCCCTTGCTTGCTATGTGCCATAGAAAACAATAGGAAAGGTTTAAGGGAAAGGTAGTGGGCAGGGCCACGAAAATTCCACACCCATGGAGAGAGTAAGAAACACTGGGGTGTCTGTGATGGAGGAAAACCAGAAAATCCAGGATGAAATTATCTCTGTATGAAAGCCTTCACTTGGGTGGTGGGCAGTATTGTGTTTGTATTGCATATTGGCAGGTTCCTTGTACATGTTCATGGCAGTCACTATAACCTGCAATGTCATTGGAGGGAGGGCCATTGGTGTCTCCTGAGCAGTGGGAGTTATATCTGTTTGTGGAGGCAGAAGCTTGTCTGTGTAAGTGGGCATCTCAGTCACACACACAAACACATACATATTTTCACTTTTATTATATGTATAAATAGTTGCACAGCTTAAAATCAATGTTGAAAATAAATCAAGTATAAATGTAACTTTAGATGTTTCGTTAGGAACACAGTCTAAAGAAGCTATTTGTAGATTATGAAAAAACCATTATTTGTCATGAACAGTGGTGTTCTATGTTTTAAGAATTAGAGTCACATGTTTACAAGAATGGATCAATAATGGAAAACCACTATTTCCTCCATTTTGGAAGTGGAAGTACAGGTTGAGTATACCTTATCTGAAATGGTTGGGACTTGGCAGTGTTTTGGATTTCAGATTTTTTATTTTATTTTATTTTATTTGGATTCTGGAATACCTGTATTTTTCACAATGAGATACCATGAAGATAGAACTCAAGTCTAAACATGACATTCATTTATGTTTCATATATATCTTATACACAAAGCCTGATGGCTATTTTATATGCAATATTTTAAATAATTTTATTCATGAAGCAATGTTTGTGTACACTGAACCATCAGAAAGCAAAGGCCTCACTATCGCTGCCACCTATGCAAGTATTTTGGATTTCAGGAATCTGGGTAAGAGATGCTGAACCTGTATTTCAAAAACTCTTGGGTCCTACCTGTTTTTGTATGCATAATTAAATAATTTCACCTAATCAGATGACCTCCCTCCAGCTCCTCTTAACAGTCAATAGTTACATCAGGAAAAGTAAGTCTGTTCAGATGCCAACTGAGGTGCAAGGAGGATTGTTTTGAGTCTGATCCTACCAGTAAACAAGGCTGTGATAAGGAACTGAGACAGGTTTGCTCACTGTTGGGAAGCAGCTGCACAGACTCCCTTCACCCAGTGTTGCTGCTGGAGGCATTTACTTAGTCCAACTGTAAGGCTTCATAATCGTACTGAACACAGAGCAGTTATACTCTAGGTTTCGAATTCATAACTTGCAATATAATTTCCAATGTATTCCATTTAAAAATAGCCTCCCTCCCTTATCATGAACTCAAGAAAACTGGCAGCAGAAATATATACATACTATTTTTGAACTCTTTTTGAACTCCAGGTGATCCTCTGAAGATGCCAGCCACAGATGCAGGCGAAACGACAGGAGAAAATATTACCAGAACACAGGCATACAGCCTGGAAACCACACAACACCCCAGTTATTCAATATTTTCCCTACTTGTTGCAAGCTTCTCTGTTCCAATCTGTATTAGTCTGCTGGTTGCACCAAGTACATCCACATGAACTATAATTTATCAGGGAGTTCAAAAGTAGTATGTATATTTTTGCTATCTCTAGCTGTCTTTAAAAATGTTTCCCTATGCCCCTGGATTTACTAAAGAAGGAAAGTTATTCCACGTGTTCACCTGGAATTTTGTTTTCAGTTGATTATTCTCTGCCTCATTTTTTCCTATCTGGCACTGCAAATGGGTTTGAAGTGATTGGATTGATTCAGAACGGCGTGATACTGTTAGCACATTAGCCTGAAATATCAAAAGATAAGCCAAAGTCAATGCAGAATAAACCTTCATACCCTATCAATTAAATCCTAATCACAAAAATGATTCCATATGTGTAAGAAAGATACAGGTCTTAACTTCAAACATCCATCTAAACCTATATTTCAGCATCTACCTGAGAACCAGAGAAGCAAGCAAACAACGCATCTTGTTTCATGATTTAATATCATTTAGTCTAGGACACTAGAATCAACGTTCTGCATCTTGTTTGTAAATCACTTGAGTTTTGATGTGGTATGCTTCATTTCCACCGTTAAGCTCAAAGCAATTGATAATATATGAATATAATATATATAATTTCAATACCTAAGAAAACGGCACTAGCACGTGCAAGGGAAGAAGAATTCAAAATACAAAATTCTGTAATCACAAAATCAATGAATGCTTATTGTGAAAAATAAGCTGTTGGCATGAATTATTATTATTTAAAAAACCACAATTCCTACCTAAATTAAAAAAACACAAACACACTGGGACCGAGATACTACATGGTGTGAAAATTCCCCATGCAAAACTCTGCTATAGTTCCCCTATTAATCATCTCCAGGACTCATCGTGTTGATGCTAACGCCGACAGCCATCCCATGGCAAAAAGAAGCCATCAAACTGGAAAGTGATATAGATATAGATATAATAATAATAATAATAATAATAATAATAATACTTTATTTGTACCCCGCTACCATCTCCTCAAGGGACTCGGTGCGGCTTACGTGAGGCCAAGCCCACAGCACATCAATAAACAAAGGCGATAGCGAATAGTCAATACAAAACAGTTAAAATAAACTCAAAAACAGAAAATACACAATAAGCAATAAACAATAACAATAACATACAGCATTAAAAACCTATGGCCGGGCCAAATGTAATAATTAAGATTTAAAATTTAAAATGCTGGGTATGAACAAGGTAGGGTAAACTAGTATAGGGTTTTCAGAGAAAGATGAGGGTGCGCAGACAATCCTAAATCAATATTAAAGTGCATTTGAGGACATATTGCTAAGAGTTTTCCTTATTCTGGGAAGGCACACTGGAACAACCACGTTTTCAGGCTCCTCCTAAAGACTTACAGCGTTGGGGCATGTCTGATGTCCTTAGGGAGTGAATTCCAGAATCGAGGGGCCATCACCGAGAAGGCCGTCTCCCTCGTCCCCACCAATCGCGCCTGCGAAGGAGGTGGGAGCGTGAGCAGGGCCTCTCCAGATGATCGAAGAGACCGTGTGGGTTCATACACAGAAATGCGGTCACGCAGGTATCTATATACTGATATAGATCAGGCCTCTTCAACCTGTGGTCCTCAAAGTGTTTTGGATTTCAGTTCCCAGAATTCCTGACCATTTAACAAGCTGGCTAGGGCTTCTGGGAATTGAGAGGCCCAAATACCTGGAAGGCCACAGGTTGAAGAGACCTGAATGCTGAGGCTATCTATAAAAACATACTTATCTCGTATATTCAAAGGGAATTGTTCACTTACTTTTTCTTGCTCAAGCTGACTTGAAAGTTCTAAAATACGCCTCTCTTTTTGAGTTGTTTCACTTCTAATATTCTTCAAGTGGGAGGAAACACACACACATTGATATTTTCATTAGATAAGGAGGACGGAGCAGTCCCCGAGTAATAAACATCTGACTTACAAATGACTCACAGCTAAGAACAGAGGTGAGGCAACAGGAAGTGAGAGAAATCTACCCCTCAGAAGGGAAATTCACTCCTGGAATAGCTATCATGGGGAAAAGGTGTCTCCACTGAAGCTTTCTCACAAATCCTTGTTTCCTGGTTAAGAACAAGGGTGAGAACAGGAAGTGAAATCTAGCCTTGGAAAGCAAATTCACTAATGAGAGAGTTACCACTGAAGCTTTATCACCAATCCCTGTTTCCACAAGAAGCCAATTTTTTCAAAATCTGTTATCACAGGGACAGAAAATGAGGTGAAATCTTCTGAATGAATGGAGGGACAGACAGCAAAAAAAATACCATGGGGGTGTTAACTCTTCCCTATGCTATCCAAAGATAGATAGATACATAGATAGAATTACACTTAAAAAATAACTGTTCTGACTTGCATACAAATTCAACTTAAGAACAAACCTACAGAACCTATCTTGTTCGTAACTTGGGGACTGCCTGTTGAACATAAATAATAAATATACCATTTTTAGTTTTATGGCTCAAGATTTCATCAAGTAAGGTTTAATAATTTGTGGATAGGAAAAAGAATAGATATTATGCATATAAGAAATAAATGAGAGTTCGTTAAATATGCAGTCAGCTCTTCGTATTCAAGGTATGTATCCAGATATCCAAGATGTTTTTAAAAATCCCAAAAGCAAATCTTGATTTTGCTTTCTTATATAAGAGACACTATTTAATTACGCCATTATATATAATGGGACTCCAGCATCCCCAGTTTTTTGGTATCCACAAGGGGGCCCTGGAACTAAATCCCAGCAGATATACCAAGGGCCCACTTTGCATAGAAAGTATTGTTACCCTGTTGCCATGTTATTTAACCTTTCTCAAAAATAATGAAAGGAAAACAGCAATCATGTACGTTGCATGCATATTTCTTCAATGTTTTAATAAGATCACAAGTATCTAAAACAATGCTGGTGCCCTTTAACACAATGGAACATTCTTCCCCAACCCGGCATAACGCAACACCTCAAAACCCGTTCCAAAAGGGAAGGAAGAATCTGGAAGAATCTGGATTATCTACAAGAAGCTAAGATTTTTGTTCTGGGTGACAACATAATGTAGTAAAACCCAAACTTACTGTAATTTCCATTTCATTGTCAGTTATCCGCTGTATCAATTCTTCAATCTGTTTACTGATAATCTAAAAAAGAAGAAGAATCGGGCAAAATGGATTAAACTTCAGTTAAGTCTGTAAGGAATACTGCAATTTAATAAACTTTAATCATAATGGGCCTCATCACAATAGAGAAAAAATCCGCCTAAAATATTGATAAAATAACCATAATATATTTTATAGGCATGGACAAAGAAGAAAAGAGATTATGCCTCACTTACAGAGATTAGGAAACGACTACCATTAATAAAAACCTGATTTGTATAAAACTGATGAAATGAGGGAAGGTTAACAAAGAGAAAACAGAGTGTGTGAGAAAGTAATGAAAACTGGTTCCCTTTTTAATTCCTTCTCCTATGCAAGTTGTACTGGTCCATTTAGTTTTCTTGGCAAGGATACTGGAGTGGTTTGCCATTGCCTTCCCCAGGGATCACGCTTGGTCTGACCTCTCTGCCACAACCGTCCCGTCTTGGGTGGCCCTTCACGGTTTCGCTCATGACATCATTGAGGAGGAAAGTTGGAGGAAAGTTCTGAGAGTGCCTTGGACTGCGAGAAGATCCAACCAGTCCATCCTCCAGGAAATAAAGCCCGACTGCTCACTGGAGGGAAAGATACTAGAGACAAAGTTGAAGTACTTTGGCCACATCATGAGGAGACAGGAAAGCCTAGAGAAGACAATTATGCTGGGGAAAGTGGAAGGCAAAAGGAAGAGGGGCCGACCAAGGGCAAGATGGATGGATGGCATCCTTGAAGTGACTGGACTGACCTTGAGGGAGCTGGGGGTGGTAACGGCCGACAGGGAGCTCTGGCGTGGGCTGGTCCATGAGGTCACGAAGAGTCGGAGACGACTGAACGAATGAACAACAACAACCTATGCAAGTAATAATGTGTCATTATTTATAGCAGTAAGGCTTGTATTCATCATTCTTTAGCCCACAAGCTCTAAAAACAACACCATTCAAAAATGCAGGAACATGGCCAAAATGCCCACCCTTCTCAAAGTAGGATAATTAACTCTCAAGTTCAGACAGAAGAATCTCAAGTTTGAGTATTTAAATTATGTACATACTGAGTGAAATTGGACATCACAAAAAGGCCTATTTTATTTTGGGAATGACCAAGAATGCTGGCCCACCCTGCTCAGTGGATCTGCTGGGCTTCTCTTGCCAGACAGAGACTAAACTAAACTAATTCCACCCAGGGGCAATTGAAAACGAGAATTGAAAACTCTGTCCTGTTGCTCTGCTGAGAAGCCAGCAGAGCAATCTTGTCTTGATAGATAGGTGACAAATTTGGGGTTCCTGAGCCCATATTAACTCACAGCGGTGGAGGATTCCTGCTTGTTTAGCTACTCATTCTTCATAAGTCAGCACCATCACGCCCAAACTAAGCTCCAAAAGATGGGGAGGATAATGGCAATGTAGTTAATGTAGACTGTTTAAGTTGACTGGTGACGAAAGTACTTCTTTATACCATGGAACATAAATCCTATTGGACACTACAGAATTATAGCATGTGTCATGCCTGTCTGTGGTACAATATGGCATGCAATTACAGGCAGTCCTCAAGTTACAAACAAGATACCATAGGTTCTGTAAGTTTGTTCTCAAGTTGAATTTATATGTAAGTCGGAACAGGTGCATTTTAAGTGTAACTTCATCTATCTATCTATCTATCTATCTATCTATCTATCTATCTATCTATCTATCTATCTATCTATCTATCTATCGAGCACTTTGGATAACCTAGGGAACAGTCAACACCTCCTCTGTGGTGTTTACTTTGCCGTCTTATGTCCCTGTTCAGAATATTTCACCTCACTTTCTGTTCCTGGCTTGGCTTGTTATGGAAAGAAAGATTGATGATAAACCTTCAGTTGACACACCTTTTCCCCACAATAATAACTCTTTCAGGATGGAATTTCCCTTCTGAGGGGTAGATTTCTCTCACTTCCTGCTGTCTCACCCTCGTTCTTAACTGTGAGTCATTTGTAAGATGAATGTTTGTTATTCAGGGGCTGACTATACTGAGATAATGATGCTATAATGTGTGTGACTGGGCCCCACAGTTAAATTTCTCTTTGATAGTAGACAAGAAAATGAAGGAGCACGTCTTCGTCTAGGGCAGTGGTTCTCAACCTTTGGGTCCCCAGATGTTTTGGCCTTCAACTTCCAGAAAACTGGCCAAGAGTGAGAACCCCTGGTCTAGGGACTGTACCCCAACAATGTATAAATCTATGTTTTATGTCCAATGGATATTCCCAATAACACAGAATCACAGAATCAATGGCAATTCTGAACTGTAAGTCAAAACTTATGTAAAGACCACTTATTCAACTGATCTAGACAATTAGAAGTTGGCTCACGTAGGATTCAGGTAGTGGCATGAATGCAGTGCTGTCATACTGGCATTATTCACAAGTCCAAACTTGCAAGTGGTAAACTGAATTAAGTGGAAAACTAAAGTCCTCCTATGAAGTGGACTAATGGACAAAATGAAGAGTTCTAAATCTTATGCTTAATGTAGGCAGCCAGTTTTTCTGTGCAAGTATGCCTAATGCAAGGAGAAGATCTAAGGCTGGATCTACACTGCCCTATGTCCCAGGATCTAATTCTGGAATTTTTTTGTGTGTCAGGAGTGACTTTAGAAACTTCAAGTTGCTTCTGGTGTGAGAGAATTGGCTGTCTGCAAGCTCATTGCCCAGGGGACGCCTGGATGTTTTACCATCCCGTGAAAGGCTACTCTCATGTCCCTGCATGAGAAGCTGGAGCTGACAGATGGGAGCTCATCCCGCTCCCTGGATTCAAACCACTAACCTTTTGATCAGCAGTCTTGACGGCACAAGGGTTTAACCCACTGCGTCACCGGGGGCTCCAGATTATCTGTTTTGAACTAGATTATATCCAGATAATCTTGGATAAACAGACAATCTGGGATCAGATCCGGGGATATAGGGCAATATAGATCCAGCCTAAGACATCTTTTGGAGGAGACTGACAATCTCAGTTTAATACAGGACATAGTACAAGAAGACCCTCGCATCCTGACTAGACTGAGAATGTCTGAAACCACCTATCTAACAAAATGCCATTTAATTATCTGATGTCTGGTCCCAGCATACATAATTGTTGCTCTGGTGAAGTTAGAGATGTATAGAGACTGAGGCCCCTTCTACACAGATGTATAAAATCCACATTACCTGTTTTGAATTGGATTCTATGGCAGTGTAGACTATGATAATCAAGTTCAATTCCGATAATATAGATTTTCTGCTTTGACAATCTGGATTACCTAGCAGTGTAGAAGGGGCGTTGCCAGAGGATCTAGCAAATTCCTAATGACCAATTTCCCCCAGGTGCAGGTAGGTGAAACTGCCGATATGAGCCCAACAGTTTTGAGGGGCTTACAGTACAAGGTCTATCTTTGGCAAAAGGAGCTTTAGTGTATTCTTCTTCTGTTGGAAATACATAGCAACCTTCCAAGCCTTCACTATTTGTTTGTTAATGTATATATTTGCTAACCTCTATTGTAAGTATATGTTGATTTGTCAATTTGACTGACCTCTTTGGTGTGGGAGGGGCTACAGACATGTGATTGTACTGAGTATGTTTGGACTCAAGATTCCCTTTTGTTATCAGGTGTTTTTGAACTTCAATGTTAGCAGTTCGCTTTAGACCTCAGTGGAGATAGATGCAGTTTACATTTGAACTTATGCAGGAACAGTTTACTCTATGTTTGCTTTGAGAAGTAGTGACTACTTAGACTTTGAACTATTGATTAAGAATTATGCCCTGTGTTCTCAACACATAGAAACTACATCCTATCTATAAATGTGCCTGTATGTTGAATTAATACAAGTAAACAAGATATGTTACTTTTAAAAGAAGACTTTGGTTTTTTTTTTTTTGTCTCTGAGTGCATATTGTTAAACTAAGAGTTTTCAAGGGAGAGTATATGTTTTGGGCAACTGCAATTTCAACTTCAAAGAAACATTTTAAAAACTCTGCTAACCAAAATATGTTTTTTGTGCAATGGCATGACTTTGTCCAGTTCAAAGATATTGTTTATCAATTTAACAGCTGAGTTACCTGTGTGCCATTACATGAATGCTTGTGAACACCACTTTTTCAAAGGGTTAACTTCTAACAAGATCATGCCTTTCATTGTCTAGTGGTTTTCAAAAGGTGGTCTCCAGATGTTCATGGAGATTCACATTTGCCAAAAGGATGTGACATCATTTTTCCTTTTCAAAAAGGTTATGAATGCCATTTTTTCCCAAAATCTTGATCACATGTGAGGGCTATCTGGGACAAAAAAGCTGTATATGTAAATCAAAAAGGTAGAGCCTTACTAATAAATGGGTGTAATAAGTAGCTCTTCCATAACCCTTCGCTAATGTGGATTAGTCAGAAATAGAAAACAACACAGATAGTTTTCAGGACAGGGGCAGGGTGACAACATTTGAGCATTTTTCTCTGATTGTTCCAAGAAGAAATGGGGAGAAGCTGAGACAGCTTGGTATTATTATCTTAATCCCAAACAATTTAACAATACTTAAGCGTGCTGTGGATCAGTGTTATGCCTCGATCATGTTCTCTGGACATCATCTTACTTCTTTGTCCGTGCTCGCTCTAAGCAGTTGCTGTAACAGTTCTTTCATATTCCTGAGAACATCTAGCTCCTTGAGTAGCAAGTCTTCTTGCATAGAGATCTTTATCATATCTGATGCAGAAATGTAACAAGCCTGACAAAATATTAAAATGCAATTAACTTGGTTTTTTCCCCCAAGATGACATGAATAGGAAATGAAATTGTACTTTGCCAACCCGATTTCACCAGAAGGTGGTCACTTGGAAAGAAAATCTTACTGTTATATAAAGCAAATATATAGATATTCAAATACGAGGCTGCACTTTATCTCATAGCTAGGCATAATCGCCGATTCAATTAAAAAAAACAACAACCCTTCACTAGGCTTTTGTTTAAACTGTAACATTATTATTACATTATTAAGAGGAGGAGGGCTATCCCACCTTTCCCTGTTCATGACTCTAGGCGGCTTCCAACAGTTAAGTCAAACATAGTGAAAAATTCACTGTATACAGAAATTAAAGTGCAATTGAGCTATATACAAATTAAAATAGTTAAAATAGAAACCATTAAAATATCAAATAAAAATACAGCATATTATACATGGACTTTGTCCCATTAAAAAAATCCAAGATCTGCCAGAATAAAAGGGTTTTCACTTAGCTGCAAAAAAGAGAAAGCAAGGTCCCATCTACACTGCCACATAAAATCCACATTATCTGCTTTGAACTGGATTATATGYCAGTGCAGACTCAGGCCCCTTCCACACAGGTGTATATAATCCCACATTTTCTGCACTGAACTGGAATATATGGCAGTGTGGACTCAGATAACCCAGTTCAAAGCAGATATTGTGGGATTTTCTGCCTTGATATTCTGGGTTATATAGCTGTGTGGAAAGGCCCTAAAAGAATCCGGTTCAAAACAGATAAYATGGATTTTCTGCTTTGATAATCTGGATTATCTAGCAGTGTAGAAGGAGTAGTAGTAGTAGTAGTAAGTAGTAGGGCTGGGCGGTTTCGTTTCGTTAATTCGTAATTCGTTAAAAATTCGTTATTTTTTTTAATAACGAAGCGATAACGAGCCATTCTGGAGCAACTTAAAAACGAAACGAATTTCTAAATTCGTTCCGTTGATGCTTCGGATTCGTTATGTATTCGTTTCGTTATCGGTTTGAGGTCGTTTCGTTATTATTTCCGCATGTCTGGGGCAAGTTTTATAGTTGTTTTTTGTTTAATTAGTGAAAAAAAATTATAATATCACACCAACAGTCAACAACAGAGGGAGAGGGAAGCTTCAGAAGTTCCCCCTGTCCCATTTGGAGGTTTTTTAGCGTATTGCGCGGTCGCGCCCGCCATTAACGAATCGATTCGTTATTGTTTTGTATTTGTTTCGTTAATGTTTTGTAATTTTTTTTAACATTTACGAAATTTTGTAAATATCAAACTTTTTAAAAGAAAATTTTCAGAATTCTTTTAAATATCGAAACGCAAAAAAACCCAAAAAACGAATCGATTTTAGAAACAAATTTTTCCGTTGTTACCCAGGCCTAGTAAGTAGTAGTAAACTTTATATTCTGCCACCATCTCCCAAAAGGGACTCAGGGCGGCTTACAAGGCACTATAAGTGTAGTATATAACATAGACGGTACATGAGTATAAAAACAATATCACATAAAAGTTATATAAACAACCACTATTAACACATGAACCTCAGGCCTCATCTACATTGCCATATAAAAATCCAGATTATCTACTTTGAAATGGATTATATGCAGTGTGGACTACAAAGAGGCCACAAAGGTCTTGAAGGGGGGATGGGCAGAGGAATCCAATTCCAGAAAAAGAAAGTAAGGATCCTAGGCACATGTCGGACTGTAACCCCTATGAATCCTTACCACTGGCTAAGATTGGTGCGAGTTGCAATCTAATCATATCCCTTAGGATACGATTACACAGCCCAACAAAACAATTTTTGTCTTGGTGTCTTGGTTTTTAGTCCTGTTCCTGGGGTTATTTCAGAAAATTGCATTGGATAAACTCTGTTTGGTCTAGTTTGTTGGGAATGGTTATCATGATTTTCTATGGGTAAGCAGATGGCAGTGGGTAGATGACATATATTCTGTATCCTAAAAAACTAGAACAGATAGAAGAACATTGGTGCCATTTTTTTTTAATCAGTAGGCGAAATATACCCAGAAAAAGTTCTGAGGCATCAAATGTGTGTTGGCCAGTGTTATACCTAGAGCAGTGGTTCTCAACCTGGGGTCCCCAGATGTTTTTGGCCTACAATTCCCAGAAATCCTAACAGCTGGTAAACTGGTTGGGATTTCTGGGAGTTGTAGGCCAAAACACCTGGGGACCCACAGGTTGAGAACCACTGACCTAGAGGATCTCATGTTTGCACCTCTGCCACAGGGTATTTTGCAATATGCTTGATTCAGAAACATTTCTTCCCTGTCCGTCCAACTTACTTTTGAAATTCGAGTGAGAGTTTCTTTAAATGAGGGCAAAAACATTTCTGCTGATTCAATTGCCAACTCTGTTTCATGAAGCCTTTTCTGGAAAGTGACTTTGTCATTTATGGCATTTTCCCACAACCTAATTAATGGAAGATATAAACAAAAGGTTAAGGCATATTGAGAAATACGGAAACACACTTGCTAGCACAAAGCCGTATCTAGTTTTGCACAAAAACAATACTTTTGGGAGATCAATTTTTCTTTTGGACTTGGACCAAGATTCTTTACTTTCAATTAAAGGGTTTTTTGTCTGATTGCTTAGCACTGCTTCATACATCAGGCACTTCCAATGGAGAAACATTTTGTTTAGAGACTGCCTCATAATCGACATATTGTATGCATATGTATGGCCCATGCCCACAAAGTAGTGATGCAATATAAAGCCATGGTGGTTCAAAGATTGCAAAAAAAAAAAAAAAAAAAGCCGCACAACACACTTGGTAACCTGCATGCAGTTGTCATATTACTTCCTTGAACAGTGAATTATGGATGGAAGATGTACATTATGAACAGCCTTTGTAGGCTACATGCTTCTTTTAAAATGCAATGTGGCTTGTGCTTTTTCTTTGATAAGAAGCAGGTGAACTTTTAGAAGTTCCCAAAGTAATCTGTCAACATAGAGCCATTATTAAAATATTCATGATTTCTTAATTTCACAGAATATCCATCTTAATAACACCTCTAAATGAACTGCACAAGCCAGAAAGCAAATCAGAAAATTAAACTGATCCAATGATTTAATTTCAAATAGCTTTTTATAAAGCAACTTTTTTTTCCAGCAGGTAGCACTTACTCATTTTAGTAAGTAACATTTTGCAACTAAAGGCATGTTTGTTGGTGTTGCTGGTAAATAGAAATTGCACTCACGTGGCTTTACCAGCACCTACAGACCATGTCTTTGGCACACATTGGCAGTGGTTCCCAACCTTTGGAACTCCAGGTGTTTTGGACTTGAGCTCCAAGAAATTCCAGTCATCTTACCAGTTTTAGTAATTGTGGGAGCTGATATCCAAAACACCTGGAAGCCCAAAGGTTGGGAACTACTGCAAGAGGCTGACAAGGCATATCCTGCAGGCAGGGATGGGAAATTCATACAACAGAGTGCTCTGCTCTACGCACTGCAGGTTGTTCAAAATCTTCTGCCACAACGATGACCTACTCAAAGGCTAAGCAGTCCAGCAGATGCAAATGCACTGCAACACCTATTATCCTTAACCACTGCACATGCTATCTAGAGCTCATATGCAACAATGCTGCCATTCTGTATGGCTCAGTACCGTGTAGTAAATCCACATGCAAGAAAGGCAGACAATATCTGGAGGATTACAAGTTGCTCACCAGTGATGTGCATGGCAGTCATTTAGCACACTTTCCCACTACCTTAACACAGACAGGATAAAAAGAAGTGAGTTGAGTTTTAAGGTTTAAAATGGTATTTCAGTTTGTTAAAACATCCCTGGAATTTAAACATGATTTCATGTAATTTTCAACGTAAAAAATAAAATCTGGAACATAACCCATAGAACACCTTTAAATATAAACCTGTCCCTTCAGGAAGTCTAAGGCTGGATCTACACTGTCATATAATCCAGTTCAAAGCAGATAATCTGGATTTTATATTGCAGTGTAGATAAGGTCTTTCTCAGAATACTGCAGACAGGTAAATTCTCAGGTGTCTTGGACTACAGCTCCCATTATTCCTAGCCAGAATGGGGATGGTGGGGTTGCAGTTCCATCCAGCTGGACAGTACAGTTGGTACCGTATTGAGGGAGCTTGTCAAGTGCTAGGAGGCAGAGGCAATCCCTGACTTACAAACACCTGACTTACAAATGACTCATAGTTAAGTACAGATGTGAGAGAACAGGATGTGAGCGAAATCTACCTCTTGGGAGGGAAATTCACTCTCAAAAGAGTTATCATGGGGAAAAGGTGTCTCCTCTGAAGTTTTCTCACCAATCCTTGTTTCTGCAGCAAGTCAAGCCAGGAACAGAAAGTGAGGCAAAATATTCTGAACAGGGGCACAGAGAGCAAAACACCTTCCCTATGCTGTCCAAACCACACTCTCTCTTGCTCTCTTTCTCTATATATATTCTGTATTGTTATATGTCTTATTTTAACTTACTTATAGAGTGCAATGCATTCTTATCAAGCCTTGTTGTTCGGTTTGGTATTGTGATATGGCCTAAGGGCTAAACAATAAAAATTACACACACACACACACACACACATACACACTTGGATGGTGTTACACTTTAAAAATACACCTGTTCCGACTTATATATAAATTCAACTGAAGAACAAACCTACACAACCTATCTTGTTTGTAACTTGGGGACTTCCTGTAAATGCATGCCATAGAAAGGAAAGACAGGTGCTATAATTCGGTAGTGTAGTTAGCCCTTCTCTATGCTATAATAGTAGTAGTAGTAATAATAATAATAATAATAATAATAATAATAATAATAATAATAATTTATTTATATTCTCCTCTATCTCCCCAAGGGGACTCTGGGCAGATCACAGTACATGTACACGGTAAACATTCAATGCTGCTTTGAATAGACAATACAGAGACTGACAGAACAGACAGGAGGTACGCTGTTCAAAGTCCAGCCTTCTGGCACCGTGGAAGGTTGTGCTCAAATCCAGCCCCAGGGGGGTGCTGTCTCTACATCCTCTCTGACAAAGAGCCATCAGGACTTTGTCCTTCCTTTCGGTCATTGTCATTTTTTGAACTTTTTCCTTTATGGTGTGATAAAATATCTTCCGCGCTTGTTTTTGTTGTTGTTCATTCGTTCAGTCGTCTCCGACTCTTCGTGACCTCATGGACCAGCCCACGCCAGAGTTCCCTGTCGGCCATCACCACCCCCAGCTCCTTCAAGGTCAGTCCAGTCACTTCAAGGATGCCCAAGGATCCCATCCATCCATCTTTCCCTTGGTCGGCCCCTCTTCCTTTTTCCTTCCATTTTCCCCAGCATAATTGTCTTCTCTAAGCTTTCCTGTCTTCTCATGATGTGGCCAAAGTACTTCATCATGGCCTCTACTATCCTTCCCTCCAATGAGCAGTCGGGCTTTACTTCCTGAAGTATGGAGTGGTTGGATCATCTCGCAGTCCAAGGCACTCTCAGAACTTTTTCTCCAACACCACAGTTCAAAAGCATCATCTTCCTTCGCTCAGCCTTCCCTAAGGTCCAGCTCTCACATCCGTAGGTTACTACAGGGAATACCATGGCTTTGACTAGGCGGATCTTTGTTGCCAGTCTGATGTCTCTACTCTTCACTATTTTATCGAGACTGGACATTGCTCTCCTCCCAAGAAGTAAGCGTCTTCTGATTTCCTGGCCACAGTCTGCATCTGCCGTAATCTTTGCACCTAGAAATACAAAGTCTGTCACGGCCTCCACATTTTCTCCCTCTATTTTCCAGTTGTCAATCATTCTTGTTGCCATAATCTTGGTTTTTTTGATGTTTAGCTGCAACCCAGCTTTTGCGCTTTCTTCTTTCACCTTGATTAGAAGGCTCTCAGCTCCTCCTCACTTTCGGCCATCAGAGTGGTGTCATCTGCATATCTGAGGTTGTTAATGTTTCTTCCAGCAATTTTCACCCCAGCTTTGCGCTTGTTTTAGTGGTACCTAATTTCTCTAATTACAGCTTCAAGCTGTTTTCAAACTGCTTAGGTCAACAGTAAGCTGGCCTAACAATCAGCAGCTCAGGCTGACCCGGGGCTTCGAACTGACAATCTTTCAGTTGGTAGATCTTATCATTGCTGGTGATTTACCAGCTGTGCTAAAGCCCCGGCCCTATCCAAAGCTATACACACACACACACACACGGCTGGAGTTACACTTTAAAAATGCATCTATTCCGACTTACATACAAATTCAACTTGAGAACAAACCTACAGAACCTATCTTGTTTGTAACTTGAGGACTGCCTGTAAATGCATGCCATATTGTACCACAGACAGGCATGACAATTCTTTGAACAAAATATAAATAAATCCTGCAAAATACAAATTCTAGAAAATCTCTAAGCGGGACATAGGTATCTCGCCACCTGAGGTTAAAGCCTACCATTTTGTTTCACCTTCACTTGAGCTCTCTTGCCAGGAGCTATCCCGGGGTACGCCTTGAAGGCATGGCAGCAATTCCTTCATCTTGGTCCGGTGTTTATCCACAAGTTTGTCGTAAGAACTCCAGTCCTCTTTCAAGGATTCCACCTCGATGTTTCCTGGAAGCTTTTAAAATATTGATTTTGTTTTACTCCTTAGTAAATAGAAAATGTTATTCATTAAACTAATACAGTTTCATCTAACTACATCCCCCCTAAAAGATCCTAAGAATTTTCTAGTCCTCCAATAGTAACTTTCACTGGAAGTTATTGATTTGAATAGGGTTCGCTGTAATCCATGGCTTTCTGTTTCCACAGTACGTTCAGGGAATATATCTGTGGCTACGGGGACATACTATACGTTGCTTTGAATTCATTTACTTTCAAGGTGTTTATGTGCTACCCTAGTTTTTAAAATTAAAATATTTATATCCTTCCATTCACCTGAAGATCTCAGGGTAGCGAACAACAAAATCAATCTAACAAATTTCAAATAATTAGGCTACTCTTAAAAGGCAAAACACTTACTCAACAATTTTTTAAAAAAGTTGAAAGAGATAAAATGTCTTAGGGCCTTTCCACACAGCCGTATAACCCAGAATATCAAGGCAGATAATCCACAATATCTGCTTTGAACTGGGTTATCGGAGTCCACACTGGCATGTATATATTCCAATTCAAAGTAGATGTGGGATTTTATATAGCTGTGTGGAAGGGGTCTTAGACTAGTTTAAAATTAATTAAAGCTCTGTGCATTGCTCAGGAGTTGTGCAATTAATTAGACTCAAAAATCTTTAATATCTATACATGGTGTTTCACAGCAGTAATGTTGCAACCAATGAGGTCGCCACAGGGAAAGTGATCCATAACTTGGCCTGGGTCTACAATGTCATATAATCCAGATTATCAAAGAAGATAATTCAGATTATCTGATATGAACTGGATTATATGAGTCTACACAGACATATAATCCAGTTCAAAGCAGATAATCTGGATTTTATATGGCAATGTAGAAGGGCCCCTATTAATAAAAGTAAGTTAAAGAATAACAAATCAATATTTGCATGAATGCTATTTCTGCCCCTTACGTAGTTGTCTGAGTCGCCCACGTCTTCATTCCAAGAACTAATATACTTTCCCAGCTTGCTGGATGTTTCTGTCCCAAGTTCATCTCTTTGAAAACTCCCATCACAGGAATTAATATCTGAGCAAAGTCTGTCTGCTTCCCCAGATGTAAGGCATGGGATCTTTTTTATTTCCTAGAAGCCAAGCAACATGGAAAGAATATCAAAGCTACACAAACAGCAAAGGTAACCATAGGCCCTTCCACACAGCCATAAAACCCAGAATATCAAGGCGGAATAACCCACAATATCTGCTTTGAACTGGGTTATCAGAGGGCCCTTCCTCGCAGACCTATATCCCAGAATATCAAGGTAGGAAATCCCCCATTATCTGAGCGTGGACTCAGACAACCCAGTTCAAAGCAGATATTGTGGGATTTTCTGCCTTGATATTCTGGGATATATGGCTGTGTGGAAGGGCCTGAGGCCCCTTCTACACTGCAATATGAAATTCAGATTATCTGCTTTGAACTGGATTGTATTTAAGTGTGGATACAGTTCAAAGAAGACAATGTGGATTATCTACTTTGATAATATGGATTATATGGCAGTGTAAAAGGATCTGGAGATCCACCAATTGATCTTTATTTCCTTTTGTCATTTTAAAGCAGCAAAGGCTTTACTCCTAAACACATATAACACTAGGTAATGAAATTTGATTTTTTTCCCTGTTCCTGGTTTGAAAGTGTTATTCCTGTTTAACTGTGTGATACCTGTGTTTGAAACTGTGTTTGAAAGTAGTTGTTATACACCAGAAATTTCATTTTTGTGGCTGCCACAAACTATGTTGAATTGTTGAGATACTCATTGAAAAACTATAACAAAATGTGCTGCGGGATATCCAACAAAAACCAAGTTTTGCAGTTTCATAAACCTTTTTCATGCTTTTATGATAGAGCCAATTAGGGAATGAAGTTTATAGTCCAGGAACAAAAATCATGTTACATAGGGTCCTTCCACACAACCATATAACCCAGAATATCAAGGCAGAATAACCCACAATATCTGCTTTGAACTAGAATATCTGAGTCCACACTGCCATATATCACAGTTCAAAGCAGATAATGGGCCTTTCCACACAGCCCTATATCCCAGAATATCAAGGCAGGAAATCCCACATTATTTGAGTGTGGACTCAAATAGCCCAGTTCAAAGCAGATATTGTGGAATTTTCTGCCTTGATATTTTGGGATATAGGGCTGTGTGGAAGGGCCCAATGTGGGATTTTATTCAGTTTTGTGGAAGGGGCCTCAGAGAAAAGTAATGGCAAATCTTGCCAATAAAGCCCTGATACAGGTTTGCCTCTTAGGTTCACCATATAGGAGAAACAAGTTGAAAGTACACACCAGCAACACTTGGGAACCAGTGTGGTGTAGTGTTTGGCAAACTGGACTAAGGCACTGGGACGCCAGGGTTCAAAACCCTACTTAGCCATGGGAAATGATCAAAGCCCCTTCCAGACTGCCCTATATCCGAGGATCTGATCCCGGATTATCTGTTTATTCCAAGTTATCTGGAAGTTGGACAGCTAAACAAGAAAATCCCAACAGGATGCCCCCCCCCCCCCCCCCCCCCGGCAAAGGTCTTCCTCCAGCGGAGTGGGCAGATCAAAAGACAACCTGGTAAAATGGAACTACCTAAAATAATCCCACACCTTGTGTGACTGTGGAGCAGAACTGACAACTCCGCATCTGTATGCTTGTCCACTGTGCCCTGCCTCACGTACAGAGGAGGAATTGTTGGAGGCTACAGACTACGCCGTTGCTGTTGCCCGTTTTTTAATAAAGATATTTAGCAGCCTGCGCGCCTTCTATTTTTATGTTTTAAACTAATTTATGCAATGCTTTTGATACGAAATAAATAATCTGGAATGGGGACACACAAAAACCAGTTTAAAACAGACCTCACAACCTCTGAGGATGCCTGCCATGGATGCAGGCGAAACTTCAGGAGAGTATGCTTCCGGAACATGGACATACAGCTTGGAAAACTTGCAACAATCCAGTTAAAGCAGATAATCTGGGAACACATCCTGGGATATAGGGCAGTGTGGAAGGTGCCTGAGGTCCTTCTATACAACCAAATAACCCAGAATATGAAGGCAGATAATCCAGAATATTTGCTTTGAACTAGACTATCTGAGCCCAGACTGCCATATACAAGGGTTGAATGAAAATTAATGCCTCCACCTTCATAATTCCTCAACAGATGGCAGTACTGGAATGCAGCAGGTACTGGCTTGTTCAGTAGACTCTCATCTACAGTTCCATTTTGGTGGGAAGCCTTAGCATTGAACGGTTGTGCTGTTAACGTCCAAAGTATTGAACCCTGCGCAGACGGTCGGTCAAAGCAATGTGCAGTCATTGAATTCTTGACAGCAGAATCACCCCAAAGGAGATTCATCAGAGAATGCAAGCTGTTTATAGTGATTGTGTTGACGTGAGTACTGTGTGTCATTGGGTGAGTAAGTTTAAAGATGTTGAGGTGACACCTTCTGCTGTCAAGAATTCAATGACCGCACGTTGCTTAAGTCGCACTGACCGACCATCAGTGCAGGGTTCAATACTTCGCACTTTAACAACACAACCGTTCAATGCGAAGGCTTCCTGCCAAAATGGAACTGTAGAGGAGAGTCTACTGAACAAGCCAGTACCTGCCGCATACCAGTACTGCCATCTATTGCGGAGTTACGAAGATGGAGGCATTAATTTTCATTCAACCCTCGTATATGGCAGTTACGAAGACCCTCGTGACTGAGTGCCCTTCCAGACAGCCCCTATCTGATCCTAGGTTTTCTGTTTATCCCAGATTATCTGCCAGTGCGGACTCATATAATCCAGTTTAACCTGGGATCAGATCCTTGGATATAGAGCCTGTCTGGAAGGACCCGCAGATGTCCTGAAACTACAAACACACAAGAGATCCTTTGCTTTGGGTTGTCATCACAGGATGGCAGGAAAACCCAGGGTGAGAGAAGAAAAGGGAGGGCTGCTGGGCAATCAGAAAAAAAGCCCTTTGCTCATGCTCAGAGGAAACATGTTTTTCATTTGGAGGCCCTGAAGTTTACACATTCACTGTGGAACAGGCTTGGGCAAACTTGGGCCCTCCAGGTGTTTTGGATTTCAACTCCCACAATCCCTAACAGCCGCTAGGCTGTTAGGGATTGTGGGAGTTGAAGTCCAAAACACCCGGAGGGCCCAAGTTTGCCCAAGCCTGTTGTAGAACGAATGCACTTTGGCACTCCTTCAGCTGCTATGTCTCTGTGCTGTAGGATCCTGGGAGTTGTAGTTTGGCGAGGCCCCAGCAGAGAAGGAGGCAGGCCTTGCAAAACTACAACTCCCAGACTCGGTAGCATTAAGCGATTGCAGTTCAAGCGGTGGCAAGCTGCATTCATTCCACACGGCACTCTTAGTGGCTTTGGGTTAGGGTTAGGGAGAGAATAAACCCCTCCAGAGCCCAGCTTTCCGCGCCCCTCCCACGCCTTGCTCCCCTTTCCCCGCGCCCTCTTTACCCCGCTGCCCTCCATGGCCGATCCTCCGGCGCGAAAACAGAGCGGCGCCGGCGCCTCTTCTCTCCCCCTCCCCTCCAACCCGGAAGCACCCGCGAGCATGCGCACTTCGCCCTTCTGAAGCCACCACTCGCCCTCACTTGGCCCTCTTTCCCTCCTGGGTCTCTCCTCCAGCCAGAGCAGAGCGAGAGAAAAGAATGAGTGTCCGACTCCCTCAATCATGATGTTAGGACTGCATCTACAGAAACTGGATTTTAAGTGGATTTTTTTTTCTCTAGTGCAGTGTTTCTCAACCTGGGGGTCGGGACCCCTGGGGGGGGGGGTCGTGAGGGGGTTTCAGAGGGGTCGGCAAAGACCATCAGAAAACACATATTTTTGATGGTCTTAGGAAGCCTTTTGGCAGAGAAGGCTGAAGATCTCTCTGCCTGTCCTCATCCTTGTTGGTGTTGGTGAATGACAACTCCCATAATTCAAAAACAGCTTCCCCAACCCCACCAGTAGTTAATGTTGGCCATGTCGGTAGTGTGCCAGGTTTGGTGCAGATCCATTTTGGGCTGGATTCAGAGTGCTATTTGAACTATAAATCCCAGCAATTACAACTCCCAAATGTCAAGATCTATTTCCCCCAAACTCCACCAGTGTCCACATTTGGGCATATTGAGTATTCATGCCAAGTTTGGTCCAGATCCATCACTGTTTGAGTCCACAGTGCTCTCTGGATGTAGATGAACTACAACTCCCAAACTCAAGGTCAATGCCCAACAAACCCTTCCAGTACTTTCTCTTGGTCTTGGGAGTTCTGTGTGCCAAATTTGGCTTGATTCTTTTGTTGGTGGAGTTCAGAATGCTCTTTGATTATAGGTTCACTATAAATCCCAGCAACTACAACTCCCAAATAACAAAATTAATCCCCCCCAACCCCACCAGTTTTCAAATTTGGGCATATTGACTATTTGTGTCAAATTTGGTCCAGTGAATGAGAATTCTTGACAGCAGAAGGTGTCGCCCTAAAGGAGGTTCATCAGAGAATTCAAGTTGTTTATAGTGATTGTGTTGGTGTGAGTACTGTGCGTCGTCGGGCAAGTAAATTTAAAGATGTTGAGGTGACACCTTCTGCTGTCAAGAATTCAATGACTGCACGTTGCTTAAGTTGCATTGACCAACCGTCTGCGCAGGGTTTCATACTTCACACTTTAACAACACAACTGTTCAATGCTAAGGCTTACCGCAAAAATGGAACTGTAAAGCAGAGTCTACTGAACAAGCCAGTACCTGCCGCATACCAGTACTGCCATCTGTTGAGGAGTTACGAAGATGGAGGCATTACTTTTTATTCAACCCCTCGTATATTCAGTATTCTACCATACCATAAACTCAGTATTCACTTGATATTAATATTGAAATACAGTAATTAAAAGCAAATGAAGTCCAACTTAACAGACTGTAATACAGTATTATAAAAACAGCTTTGTATTATTGCTTCAATTTTTGGCCGGTTGCTAAAGTTTCAGTCAACTGAGGCCCCTCCTAAACTGCCATATAAAATCCAGATTATCTGCTTTGAACTGGATTATCTGGCAATGTAGACTCAGAAAATCCAGTTTAAAGCAGATAATGTGGAATACCACATCTGATCCAAGCAATAACTCTGCTCACTACCAGATACGGTAGGTTGGTGTAATCAATCAGATCAAATAAATTCGAATAGCAATGCTCTGGTGATCCAGTAAGGCTGCACTTCCATCCATGCTTTGTTGGGAGTACGAGCTATTGTATTCAGTAGGGCTTTGTGTAGTTTTCTGCTTTGAAATCAGTTCTGACACCTGGTGACTCAACCTGTTTTCTGGACCGAAGGTGTGTGACCTGTACAGGGTCACCCATGAAAAGGAAACTGAACTCTGGTGTAGAGAGTCATAGTCCAACACTCCAATCACTACACCTTGCTGGTTGTGGGGCTATGTTAGGTTATTTCATTTCAAAACCAGTTATTCTGACAGCTCACATGCCAATCTATCCTCATATTATTTAGTCTCCCTTCGTGACCAAAGGGTTATCCTGATAAGATAGAAGTACAAAGTTCCTCAAATACGTGGCCTTCTGTTGAGTTTATGATCTCACTGCCAGGAATGGCATATTCTATTTGTTCTATTTCTCAAGATAGAAAATTCATTTACTGTATTTTTTTTCATGCAAATTTATGCAGGGTTAAGGAGTAGGTCAGGATTATTCCGGGATTTGCAATCAGGAAGTATGGTGACGTAAGGATGGAAGTATCAACCATAGCTGGACGGAATATAACATTCAGATCGAAAATTCCATGGGAGGAATATATTCCTGCACACCCTTTTTGTCCAATGTACACATACTCTTGTCCTGAGGTCATTCTCCATCATACTCAGAACTGAAGAAAATGAGCCAGGTTTCTAGATTTAGGGCCCTTCCAGACAGGCTGTACATCCCAGGATCTGATCCCAGGTTTCCTGTTTATCCCATATTATCTGGCAGTGTGGACCCACATAATCCAGTTTAAAACATGGAAGTCTAGGATCAGATCCTGGGATATAGGGCCTGCCTGGAAGGGCCCATAGGCCCCTTCCACACAGCTATATAAAATCCACATTGAAATAGATTATATGGAAGTGTGGACTCTGATAGCCCAGATCAAAGCAGATATTGTGGATTATCTGCCTTGATATTCTGGGTTATATGGCTATGTGGAAGGGACCTTAGACCGGTTCTATACTGTCCTATATCTAATAATCTGATTCCAGATTATCTGGCAATGTAGACTCATATAATCCAGTTCAAAGCAGATAAACTGGGACCAGATCCTGGGATATAGGGTAATGTAGATCCAGCCTTAGAGTCAGACCCTACACTGCCATATTTATGTATTTATTGCATCAGAAGCAAACCAAGGGTACAGTTGTAATGTATTTTAAAAACACAAAGTTTAAAACTTGGCATTATACTAAATGTCCTTTGACCAGTAGCTGGTCACTTGGAGTGCCTCTGGTGTTGTTATAAAGAGGTCCTCCATTGTGAATGTGGCAGGGTTCAGACTGCATTGTAATAAGTGGTCTGTGGTTTGCTCTTCTCCACACTCACATGTGGTGGACTCCACTTTGTAGCCCATTTCTTAAGGATGGCTCTGCATCCCGTGGTGCCAGAGCACAGTCTGTTCAGTGCCTTCCAAGCCTACCAGTCTTTTGGGTGCCCAGGGGGTGTCTCCCATTCAGTATTGCCATATAATCCCAATTATCAAAGCAGATAATCCAGATTATATGATTTGAACTGGATTATCCAAGTCTACACTGCCATATAATCCAGTTCAAAGCAGGTAATCTGCTTTGACATGAACAAGAAAGGAGATGCCATCTGAACATTAGGAAGAACTTCCTGACTGTGAGAGCTGTTCAGCAATGGAACTCTCTGCCATGGGCGTGTGGTGGAGGCTCCGTCTTTGAAGGCTTTTCAACAGAGGCTGGATGGCCATCTGTGGGGTGTGTGTGTGTGTGTGTGTGCTTTGAATGCAGTTTTCCAGCTTCTTGGCAGGGGGTTGGACTAAATGGCCCACAAGGTCTCTTCCAACTCTACGATTCTATGATTCTATGTAGAAGGGGCCTGACTACCTATTACACACCAAGCTGGTTTCATATGAGTGAAAGTTATATTTAGCCTGGAATAGCTTAATGTAAACACAGTAAAAGCTATTTTGGCTCTGCCTTTCTATCTGAAAGAGCAATCCTATTTGAAGATATTTTTTACTGATAACATAAAAATATGTTGAAATACATCACATCTTAGGAGTTCAAATCTACAGATCCTTCACTATTTTTGTAGTTTGAGGACTTTCCGGAGTGGTTTCAAGCTTGGCAGTGCAATCCTATGAAACTGGCATTCCAGAGAGGCATGGGGACAAAGATCCCTCGAGCCCTATTACTCCGGGTAGGTGTTTGTGAGAAATATGGCACACAAAGCAGCAGAGAAAAGATGTCAGATACCATTCTCCAACCCGGTGCCCTCTCGGTATTTTGGACAACTCCTCCCACCATCCCTGAGCATCAATCGGGTTGGTTGTGGGTGATGGGATCCGTATTACAACACCTTTGGAAAATATACTATCCTGCTAGGATGGATTGTAGTGCGGGCTGCCATAGACCACAACATTGGAGACTTCCTGTTCATCTTTTTAGGTGAACTGTCAGGTAATGACACTGCTTATGTAAGAATATAGTACCTTGCCTATAAATCATAAATGTTTTATGCATTTTAACCCCGGTTACACAAAAGCACGAAGTTAAGGAGAGCCTTCCAACACCACCTGTTTGCTCACTTTTTGATTATGTGTCTTTTATTGTACCATCAAATGCATCTATAAGCCTCTCAGCATAGAAATAGCTATAGGGAGATCTACAATATATCTGTGGGTGAAGGTCAGTTATCTCTCTTCGATGGGCAATAACAAGAGGTGTGGACTGTGAGGAACATTCTGGGAAGAGTTTGCCCCTGATTGTATCCTTTTGCATACGCCCAAGCATTCACCACCCACGCCTGGGCCTCTTTCACGACACACATTTATAGACTTGTCATTCCACTTTATCTGCCATACTCGATCCTAAGGAAGAAGTTTAGGGAGGGGATGTAGAACTATCAGCCAGAATGCTCCTGTGCCTCACCAAACTACAAATCCCAGGCTTCCATGGGATAGAACAGTTAAAGTGGAACAATATTGTTGTTATTGTGTAGTATGAATGGAGCCCGGGACTTATTGAAAGGTATGGGTGCTTTGGTTGCAATCTCCTGTTGTTCTTGTTATTGCCTATTCAAGAGAGAAACTGATCTTCAGCCACATATATATCGTCCATTTCCCTATAACTATTTATTTGCAGTAAATGACACAAATATTTTCAAAGCTTCCAGGAAGCACAGAGGTAAAATCCCCAAGGGAGGCAATCTAAAGAAAACCACCTTCAGATTTTTAGCACACCCTTTAACAAATGTTTTTCGGCCGTTAATGCACTCCAGCATGCATTTTCGGCAAATGTCATTTAGCCACCCATCCCCTTTATCCTGGTTTCTTCTGCATTTTAGGGCCTGTGAAGAAGGGCCCCCAGTGGTTTGCATCTTCAATAGGAAGATGTACCACCTTTGAGTTCTGTAGCACTAATGCTCTGAAGTGGAGAACTGATTTGTTCCGGGTTGACTTTTTGAATTACTGTATACTCACAGTTATAATTAAATATAATTAAAAGGTGCTGAACGCTGAAGCTCTTGTAAACACACTTAATGGATTGAGTTTGTGTGTTCATCTTTGAACAAGTAACTAAGGTGTGATAAGATCACAGCTGAAAAAAAATCCCACATCTGCTTTGAACTGGAATATATGTCAGTGTGGACTCAGATAACCCAGCTTAAAGCAGATACTGTGGGATTTTCTGCCTTGATATTCTGGGACATAGGGCTGTGTGGAAGGGCCCTGAGGCTGAACACTTTGACTTCCTCATATGTACATTAATTAAATGTACATTAATTAAAATTAAATCTATTTGTATAACACTCAGAACAAAGCAGTGTATATCAATTCCCACCCTTTACTATTCAGTATGTTTGAATGAAGCCATATATAGGGAGGACTGTACTAGGATGAATGAGGTGGACACCTGGGTTAGAATTTGGTGTCATAAAAAGGCTGCAAAGTCTTTATTTACTTTGTTATTGCATTTCTTTTTCCTGCCAGTGATAGAAAGAGGAGTTTAGGGTATTTTGCCTAATATGCCAACTAACTGGCTTGTTGATACTGTGGCCTTTCCTTTGGTGTGTGTGAGCTGCCATTTGCTTTTCTGTCTTTGGTAGCAAAATGTCTAGGGAATGGTAGAATAGTAGTAGTAGTTATTTGTACTCCGCCCTATCTTCCCGAGGGGACTCAGGGTGGTTTCCAGCAAAAAAGGCAAACATTCAATGCCGATAACATCCAAACAGCATATAAAATAATATAAAAATGGTATATCACAGTCCCATCTGGGAACACCTCCTTGCTTACTGGAAGATTGCTTAAGTGCATTTCTGCTCTTTGAACAACTTTGTTTGTTCAGTGTTTAAATGTTTTGATATATAAAAGAAGAAGCCCATTTTGTGTTTGCTTGCAGGCACGTACACTTTAGAACTGTATAAACACCAAGGAGTGTTGCAGTTTCGTTTTATATATAACTAGCTGTACCCGGCCATGCGTTACTGTGGCCCATTGTGGAGAAATGGGAAAAGAAAGAAAAGAGAAAAAGCTGGTTTGTAAGCTATCAATGCACAAGTGAAGTGGCAAAGTGTCAACCTAATATCGGCCATCTCAGTCTCCTCGAGGCCAAAGGGTTATATGGCTGTGTGGAAGGGCCCTGGGTTACCTGAGTTCACACTGCTATATAACCCAGTTCAAAGATATTATATATGTATTATTATTATTGTTATCATTATAGTCGTATAGGTATTATAGGCATATAGATATTATTATTAAAGGCATATAGGTATTATTATAGATGTTATCTCTTTATTTATTTCATATCAAAAGCATTGCATAAATTAGTATAAAACTGATAAAAAATAGGAGCACAGGGCTAAATATCTTTCGAGCAAAAATGGGCAACATATGTATGGATATTATTACAGACCTATAGATATTATTATTATAGATATTATATAGCTATTATTATTATAGATGTATACATATTATTATATGTATATAGATATTATTATAGGCATAGATATTATAGGCATATAGGTATTATTATAGATGTATAAATATTATTGACAGATATTATAATTATAGGCATATAGACATTATTATTACAGACATACAGATATTATTATAGACATGTAGATATTATTGTTATAGACATATAGATATCATATATATATATATATATATATATATAGACTTATAGATATTATTATTGTAGATATACTATATCCCAGGGTTGCTATAAAGTAAAAATGGATGGCCATTTTTTGGGAGTGTTTTGATTGTGCCTTCCTTCCTGGACAACCTTTCCTAACTCACAGAACATGCGTTTTTGTCCTTTCTTTGAATACTGGACTTCATTGCCCAGAATTCCTTCCCATAACTCAGTATGGGTGAGCTTTCTGGGCACACACACACAGAATCCCTCCTGTGTGAGTTCCCAGCGGTGGCACCTCCATGCTGCTGACAGCAGGAAAGGAAAGAGGAAGGAAAGAGAGGAGGAGGGGTGGATCTGGAGGAGGGTGTCCTCTCTCTCTCTCTCTCCCTTCTTCCCTCCCTCCCTCTCTCTGAATCCTTTGGGAAGAGAGAGGCAGGGGGTAGCAAGAGGGATATACTGGCCACCTTTCCCTCCCTCTCTCAAGCTACCTCTCTCTCAGCTGTTGGGCTATTTTCCCTTGTGCAGGAGGGAAGGGCGGGAGGAGGGTGTTCTTTTAACGCATGCTGTATAGTCATTTAGGTTTGTGGGGGCTTAAGTTCTTTCCGGTTAAATTGTGTTTGTTTTTTTGAGTGAAGGACGTACATTGCTTTAGTTGGTGTCGTGTGTTCAAATTTGGTATCAATTCATCCAGAGGTTTTTGAGTTCTCTTAATCCCACAAACTAATATTACATTTTTATTTAAATAAAAGTTTGAGGATGGACTCACACTTTATTTTGAATATACAATCACAGCATAGCATGTGTCAAAGTGGCATTCCTTATTGCCCTACCATCCCTTTCCAGAACATGCAATAACAGTTGATGCTGAACTGTAAGACCCGTCGCAAACCCTGTTCCTGCGGGAGCAAACCTTGCTAGCACGTCCCTGACGTCATGAGACTCCGCCTCTCGCCCCGCCCCTTTCTCCGCCTCTTTCTCCTTGCGAGAGTGGTTTTTCCTTTGCTAGGGCAGCATTGCCAGCATACTCTCTCAGTTGGCAGAATTCAACTGAGAGAAAATGCGGGCAATGCTGCCCTAGCAAAGGAAAAACCACGCTGGCAAAGAGAAAGGGGCGGAGAAAGGGGCGGGGAGAGAGGCGCAGGCTCATGACGTCAGGGACGTGCTAGCAAGGTTTTCTCCCGCAGGAACCTGAGTTTGCGGCGGCTCTAAAGTAACAGCACCATGACATTAGAGAAATATTTTTATATCTTCTGAATACAGAGGAGAAATCTAATAACTTAAGAATGAGACAGATGCAAGGAAAATAAAGTCTTCATAAGGAAGTTTATAAAGACTTGCTTTTCTACCAGTGGAAAGAATAGCCGGGTAAAGGTTTCCATTAAAAAATCATCACATAATAAGAATATAATAATAAAATTTTATTTCTAGCCCGCTCTCTCTCCTGGAAAGGACTCAGGGTGGTTTACAGACACAAAACAAATATTCAATGCCTCAAATGAATACAAACACATCAAAATTATACAAGATAATGCAACAGTAAACTTACAACAAAGAATTAAGCATTGAGATGAAAATAATAAAAAACAATCCAATAAGACATAGTAAACTAAAACATGATTAAACGTTACAACATGTACTCTAAAAGTAATTATGATACAATTACATTAAAATAGCTAACACCAATATTCATTTAATATGTATCGTAGGAGCCACAAAATACAATTGGATTAGTCAGTGAACACCAGAAGCAACTTGCAGTTTCTCAAGTTGCCCCTGACACGAAAAAACAACAAAGCATACGAATGGGTTAAAATGTCCTAATCCTCCCCCTCCATAGACAGCATTTCAAAAAGACATCCACTTAATTATTTCTACCACGGAAATAATTACTATAGAATAATAGAATTATTGAGTTGGAAGAGACCTCGTAGGCCATCCAGTCCAACCCTCTGCCACGAAGCAGGAAAATCACATTCAAAGCACCCCCGACAGATGGCCATCCAGCCTCTGTTTAAAAGCTTCCTTAGAAGGAGCCTCCACCACACTCCGGGGCAGAGAGTTCCAACGCTGAACAGATCTCACAGCCAGGAAGTTCTTCCTAATGTTCAGGTGGAATCTTCTTTCCTGTAGTTTGAAGAAAGCTATATAGAAAGCTTCTTTAGAAAAACATCTTACTTGAAGAAGAGATAACTTGGTTTATGTGAGTTATGCAACTCTTCTCATTGGTATTCTTCTAACTATAAATCTCGAAATTATGTTAGCATGTGCTAGTTTCATTTTTGTGTGCTAACATACAAACTGTTGATTCATTTTATCATGTTCAAAGCTCTCATTAATTCTATCCTATTCAAAGTTGTTTTAACTAAAAAAATCTGCTGAATATGTATTAATCAAATGGCAAAAATGTATGAGTGTAATAGTGAAAGGAATTGCCTTAGGTGTCAAAACATCTTTAATGTCATAAATTTATTATCCACAGGAAGACTTGAGAAACTGCAAGTTGCATACTGTTTCCCAACATGTATCATAGTGCAGAAATAATCTTTCTGTAGTTTTCTACAGAGTAACATAATTCATCATAGAATCATAGAGTTCAAAGCGTCCTCATGGGCCACCCAGTCCAACCCCCTGCCACGAAGCTGGAAAATCACATTCAAAGCACCCCCGACAGATGGCCATCCAGCCTCTGTTTAAAAGCTTCCAAAGAAGGAGCCTCCACAACACCTCAGGGCAGAGAGTTCCACTGCTGAACGGCTCTCACAGTCAGGAAGGTCTTCCTAATGTTCAGATGGAATCTCCTTTCTTGTAGTTTGGAGCCATTGTTCCGCGCCCTAGTCTCCAGGGCAGCAGAAAACAAGCTTGCCCCTTCCTCCCTATGATTTCTCCCAGTTGAAGGCCCAAAAGCCAGAAGGGCCAAAGTTTGCCCATGCCTGGTATAGATGCATCCTAGGTATATATTCCTACAAGTCTTTTTGTAGAAACTCTCAAGCTGGGAAACAGGAGGACAGGCAGGACAGGGCCCATTGTGAAGGCAGCAGGCTTAGGAGGGGCCTAGAGAGGCCTGCAAGGCCCGAGGCTCCCCACAGTCCTCCCAATAGGGCAAGCAGGGGCTGCTGAGGCTGCAAGGCCTACCCATGCCCCAATCCCCTCAGCAACATAGCGATTGGTGGCAAACTAGAGGAGAGATGGAGGATCTGCCTCATGGAGCAAGGAGACAAGGCCGGCCTTGACAAGCCTGCCTCAGGGCCGCTCCAAAGCACCCAAGGGAGGCGGAGGCCTTCTCTTCCTCTCCCTAAGAAGTATTCTTAAGGAATGGTGACAGGTTTATTTCTGACAGGAGCAAGCGCCTGGACGTTGTCGGCAGAACAAAGCCTGTCATAAAACACCGGTTAAACGTAACAGAGGGGTTTTTTTTGGTATGTGTGTGTATGTGTTTACACAGCTGCATTGTTTACCCCTCTGTGCCACCATTTCTGCCCAAGACGAGATAGAGCCTGGCACAAGCGAAGATGGCGCAGAAAGAGTGGCACCTTTTCCTGGTGTTGCTGCTGCTGCTCCGTGGGGCGAAGGGGAGCCTTGTAAAGCTCAACAATGGTGGATATGAAGATGTCGTGATTGGCATTCACCCCAGCATTGTGGAAAACACCAAAATCATTAACACCTTAAAGGTAAAACCACTACATTTGGTTGATGTATTGAATTTGTAGCAGCATAGCCATTGGTGAGTTTAGCTAACCGGAACCACAAAGAGAAAAGAGTAATAAATATATTATTATTATTATTATTACTACTAGTACTATTTATTATTTTGGAGTGGCCATAGACGGGTGTTTCAGGTTGTTATTGTAAATCCTCTCATAGGCCCCTTCCATGCTGCCATATAATCCAGATTATCAAAGCAGATAATCTGGATTGTATGTGATAGTGTAGAAGGGGCCTAAATTGCAGTAAAATGATATTCTGTGCACTTTTTTGTCAGGTTAGAACTACACTGCCATATAATCCAGTATCTGATTCCGGATTATCTGATTTCAAGTGGAATATATGCCCCTGGTGGTGCAGCGGGTTAAATCTCTGAGCTGCTGAACTTGCTGATTGAAAGGTTGGCAGAGAGAGGGAATACATCCCATCTGGATTACTATTTATTTATTTATTTATTTACTTTGCTTATATACCGCTGTATCTCAAGCCCGAAGGCGACTCACAGCGGTTCACAAACAGTAAAAACAGTAGAAACAGCAGTGGTTCCATACAACATATAACAATTGACTTAACACATTATCCATAAATTAACAATAAGCAATTACAATGCACAATTATTACAAAAAACAACCGTACCCAATCTTCTCATCATCCAAGCGTAGTCCAGGTTCGTCGTCCATTGTTCCCTTCCTATGTTCCATTACCAGATTGCACTAAATTACTCAAACGCCTGCACAAACATCCAGGTCTTCACCTTTTTGCGGAATACCATTAGAGATGGTGCTAGTCTAATGTCCGTAGGAAGGGCGTTCCACAGCCGAGGAGCCACCACCGAGAAGGCCCTATCTCTCGTCCCCGCCAGACGTGCTTGAGAAGCAGGCGGGATCGAGAGCAGGGTCTCCCCGGAAGATCTCAAACTCCTGGTGGGTTCATAGGCAGAGATGCGGTCAGATAGGTAGCTTGGGCCGGAAACGTTTAGGGCTTTAAAGGCCAACGCCAGCACTTTGAATTCAGCCCGGTAGCAGATCGGTAACCAGTGGAGTTGGCGCATGCTCTACTTGGGGCGGCCTCTTAGAAGTGCTGGGAAACTTGAGCTGGTTCAAAGAGCTGCAGCCAGGTTGCTAACTGGGTCTGGCTATAGGGAGCAGACAACTCCCCTGTTACAGCAACTCCACTGGCTGCCAGTCTGTTTCTGGGTACATTCAAAGTGCTGGTTATGACCTTTACAACCCTAGATGGTTCAGGTCCATGCTATTTGGCTGACAGCATCCCCTTGTAGAAACTTGCCCAGGGACTGAGATGTTCAGCAAAGGCCCTTCGCTCAGTCCCACCTCCAGCTCAAGCTCGGTTGGTGGAACGAGAGAGAGGACCTTTTGGGTCTCTGCCCCACGACTCTGCAGCTCCTTGTGCTGGGAAGCCAGAATGGCACCATCCCTGTTGTTCTTCCGGCAGCAGGCTGAAACCTTTCTATTCAGACAGGCTTTTAGAGATGGAGGTGTTTAGTCAGGGGATACTGTGATATTTAACTTTGAATATGTTTTGATGGATTTGTGTTTAATTCTGTTTTCATGGTTGCATATTTGTATATTTTAAATTGTATACTAATGCTTTTGTATCAAGCCGCTTTGAGTCCTCTTTGGATAAATAAAGCAGGTTATAAATCAATATAATAATAATAATAATAATAATAATAATAATAATAATAATAATGTTTTCTCCCCTTTGTTCTTGTTAGGATATGTTAAAAGAGGCTTCTTCTTATCTCTACCATGCTTCACAACAGAGGTTTTATTTCAGGACTATAAAAATTGTAATACCTTCAACATGGGCATCAAAACCTGAATACAAAAGGGTATCCAGAGAATCCTACGAGAATGTAAGTGGGAAGCATCCTTTCAAATCTAAATGCAATGTTTGCCCCCCTTTTCAAGTTCCTATATTGGACGAAAGGCGGGATAAAAATAAAGTATTATGGATATAATTATAATGTTTTGAATGCTGCAACTTCCTTTACAGTAGTTATTGAGAGAATTGGGGTTGTGCACAATATAATGTTCTTATGGTTGTGATAACAGCTTTAAAGAAGGATTCGTCAGATCAATTAATAAAGTATCAATAATAGGCATATTTGAAGCCATAACAACCAAAGATAATTTCTAGTTTTACCTAGGGGCCATATGCCTCTAAAGGTCAGTTGCTAAGGTAAAATGGGAAACAATGGAGAAACAGCTTTCAAATTGTATTTATAGTTGTGCAAAAAATACCTTGAAACCGCTCCGCGTCGCCTCTGGCTGAGAGGGGCGGTATATAAATATAGGAAGTAAATAAATAAATAAGAGACTGTCTTATTTACACTTTTATCCTGATTTTTTAAAGGCTTATTTTATGTTCAAGCACTATGTCCTTATTTGGTTATAAGATGATTACATTGAGACTTAATTCTAAATAAATCTTCATAGGCTCCTTCTACACTGCCATATAAAATCCAGATTATCTGCTTTGATCTGAATTATATGGAAGTTTAGATTCTTATAACTCACTTTGAAGCAGATAAAGTGGATTATCTGGATTGATAATCTGGATTATATGGCAGTGTAGAAGGGGGCATAATTATAATTGTCTTCTTTCTTCTCTTCTTTGGCTTCTGCTACTTGTACATCTACTTTGATGGTGCTCTCTAAAACAGGTCCTTTTTCATTTTAGGCAGATATCATTGTGGAAGAACCTTTCTTGAAATTTGTAGATGATCCTTACACTTTGCAGTATGGAGGGTGTGGCATAAAGGGACGCTACATTCATTTCACCCCTTACTTCTTGATAGAGGACCATTTTCTCGGCTTCTATGGGTCACGAGGTAATATATCTTAATTCAAACTCATAGTCAAGGGCTTTTTTTAAAAAAAATCACAGAATACTAAATGTAGTAAGGATTAGCAATATTCAAACTCATAGTCAAGGGCTTTTTTTAAAAAAAAAATCACAGGATACTAAATGTAGTAAGGATTAGCAATATTCCATTAGCAATGTTCAAGCTGCAAAAAAATCTTCCTCAAACAAAGTGAATTAGTCTTGTTTGCCAGCATACCTTATCATATGTCTTTAAACCAGGTAAAAGACAACGATTGAGTTGAACCTATTGTTACACACATGAGGTGCTCTCTCACACTTTTGACTAGGAACCATTCCACACAGCCCTATATCCCAGAATATCAAGGCAGAAAATCCCACAATATCTACTTTGAACTGGGTTATCTGAGTCCACACTCAGATAATGTAGGATTTTCTGCCTTGATATTCTGGGCTGTGTGGAAGGGGCATAGGTTGGGAGAAGGAACTAATTGATCATTGCCTAGTGAAGCACACTTTTTTTTTTGCAATTTATTTATTTATTCAAATAGACATTGATGCACACTTTTGAACTTCTAGTGGTTTCTTCATCAGGCAAAATATGTTTAAAATCATATAAACTTGTCTCAGTCCCCAGAATCTCATAAGAGGGGAGATCCTTCTGAAATTCAGCAGAAACAATGCCTGATACAGAATGTAGGCCTTTTGCCATAACTTTTTTCCCCTTACATCAGAGATGTTAAACTCATTTTCACCAAGGGCTACCTGAGCCTTATGGTTGACTTCAAAGGGCAACTGAATCCATGGACTGGGTTTCTATGGATACAGGGAACCAGCTATAATTTTGTGACATAGTAGTCAGTGCTCTTTAGTTTTCCCTCAATTTGAGTCCTCAGATGCTATTAAATGGCAACTCAATTTTTCTTTATCCCTCATGCGAACTAGGGATGAAGGGAATTGCAACTCAAAAGCTCTTGTGACTCTGAAGTCTGGGGAAAGGTTAAAGGATATTTTAAAGTCAGATATCCTGCCCACGAGCCATGTATCTAAATGCAAAAGCCAATATCCTGACTAAACAGAGCAAATTACAGCCTTCCAGATATTACTGTATTACAGCTCCCATCAACTCTAATCTTCAAATCTAACAATACAGGAGTTGTAATCTAACATCTGGAGGGTCACATAAAATGATATAATGGCCCAATTTGGCCTGTGGGCCTTGAGTTTAACACACGTACCCTACATTATTTCGTTATCATCTCTTGCCTGATGAAGAAGCCAGTCATGCTTTCAAGTACATTTTGGTAGAACAATAAAGTACCACACTTTTGCGGATTTATTTTTTATTTTTATTTTACTTTATGGCTTACATGGCTACCCTTGAATATATTGCCCAATGAGTGAGTACAGGCACAGGATGTCTATTTCACAATACTAGAATCCAGAGTAACTTCACTTGTGTACATTTGCACTCTGTTAAAGACAAAAGAGTCATCTGACTGTCTGTCTGTTTCATAGTTATTCCGTTTCTGATCTAAATAATTTCCAATCTTATTTAGATCTTTGAAGGGGGGGTTGCAGGAGAACATGCAGCAAAAAATAATGCTGCTCCACTTAAGTTTGTTTTTATTGGCTTCTCACAGGCAGAGTCTTAGTCCATGAATGGGCTCATCTCAGATGGGGTGTCTTTGATGAATACAGTAATGATGCACCTTTCTATTCTACAGGAGCAAACAAGTCTGAAGCAACAAGGTACCATACTAAAGGCATAGTTTTCAAAGAAGCAGTCATGTTATTCCCTTCTAGTATTAAATACGAGGAAGGAAGGGGGAAGAAAAGAAATGTGTGAACACTTTTAACAATAATTTTTATTTCTGAAGGAAGATTTGTAAATATGAAGCCACTTTCCTTGTTCAAGGACCCCAACCTTGTTCAAAGGCCACAACTGAGGACCAGGGTGTGATCCTTGAACATGAAATTACAAAGGAAGAGAAATGGCTGAACTGAATTATATTAACAAAGTCTAACTCAGTGGTTCTCAACCTTCCTAATGCTGTGACCCCTTAATACAGTTCTTCATACTGTGGTGACTTCCAACCACAAAACTATTTCTGTTGCTACTTCATAACATGTAATTTTGCTACTGTTGTGAATTGTAATGTATTTATCTGATATGCAGGATGTATTTTCATTCACTGGACCAAATTTGGCACAAATACCTGATACGCCCAAATTTGAATACTGGTGTAGTTGCGGAGGGGGGTGTGTGATTTTGTTATTTGGGAGTTGTAGTTGCTGGGATTATAGTTCACCTACAATCAAAGAGCATTCTGAACTTCACCAGTGATGGAATTGAACCAAACTTGGCACACAGAACTCCCATGGCCAACAGAAAATTTTGGAAGGGTTTGGTGAGCATTGACTTTGAGTTTTGGAGTTGTCATTCATCTACATATAGAGAGATCTGTGGGCTCAAACAATGATGGATCTGGACCTTGACATTTGGGAGTTGTAGTTGCTGGGATTTATCAAAGAGCACTCTGAACCCAGCCCAAAATGAATCTGAACCAAACTTGACATAGTACCTATATGGCCAACATTGAATACATGGGGTTGAGGGGGGGCTGTTTTTGAATTCTGGGAGTTGTAATTCACCAACACACAGAGAACACTCTGTACAAACTGGTGATGGAACAAATAAACTTGCCATACATACCTAACAAGCCAAACTTTGAATACTGGTGAGATTTTGAGGGGACTGAGGTTGGAAGGTTGGGAATTATAGTTCACCCACATCGACAGAGCAATCGCGATTAAAACAGGCTGTGGTTCGACCACTCCTGAAAAAGACTTCTCTTGACTCCACGGTGCTGAGTAACTACAGACCAATCTCCAACCTTCCTTTCTTGGGCAAGGTGATGGAACGGGTGGTTGCCTCTCAGCTCCAGGGCTTTTTGGATGACATCAATTACCTGGACCAGTCACAGTCTGGCTTCAGGCCTGGCCACGGCACTGAGACGGCTTTGGTTGCCTTGGTGGATGACCTCTGCAGGGAGCTGGACAGGGGGAGTGTGACCCTGCTGGTTCTCTTGGACATTTCAGCGGCTTTCGATACCATCGATCATGGTATCCTTCTGGTATGACTCTCCGGGATGGGTCTTGGAGGCACGCCTCTATCGTGGCTCCAGTCCTTCCTGGAGGGCCGTTCCCAGATGGTGAAGCTGGGAGACGCCTGCTGAGACCCCTGGCCGTTGACCTGTGGGGTTCCGCAAGGTTCCATTCTGTCTCCCATGCTTTTTAACATCTTCATGAAACTGCTGGGAGAGGTCATCCAATCCTGACAAGACAGAGGTCCTCCTGGTTGATCGTAAACCAGATCGAGGTATAGGGTGGCGACCTGTGCTGGACGGGGTTACACTCCCCCTGAAGTCACAGGCCCACAGTTTGGGTGTCCTCCTGGACTCATCACTTACGCTTGAAGCTCAGGCATCGGCGGTGGCCGGGAGGGCCTTTGCACAACTGAGACTCGTGCGCCAACTGTGACCGTACCTCGTGAAGACGGATCTGGCCAGGGTGGTCCATGCCTTAGTCACCTCCAGATTGGACTACTGTGATGCACTCTGTGGGGCTGCCCTTGAAAATGGCCTGGAAATTTCAGTTGGTTCAACGGGCGGCGGCCAGGTTGTTAACTGGTGCTCCTTACAGGGAGAGGTCAACCCTCCTGTTTAAGGAGCTCCATTGGCTGCCGTTCATTTTCCGGGACCAATTCAAGGTGCAGGTGCTTACTTACAAAGCCCTAAACGGATTGGGATCCATCTACCTGTGTGACCGCATTTCCGTATACGAACCCACACAATCTCTTTGTTCATCTGGAGAGGCCCTGCTCACGATCCCACCTGCATCGCAAGCGCGGTTGGTGGGAACGAGGGACAGGGCCTTCTCGGTGGTGGCCCCATGACTCTGGAACTCCCTCCCCAAGGACATCAGGCATGCCCCAACGTTGGCAGTCTTTAGAAGGAGCTTGAAACATGGATGTTCCAGTGTCCCTTCCCAGAATAAGGAATCCCAAGCAATATGTCCCATATGCACTTTACGAGTGATCTAGGAATGTCTGCACGCCCACCTATCCCTAAAATATCCATCCTATTTCACTTGGACATGCCCAGCATTTTTTAAAATTTTAACCATTACATTTGGCCCTGCCACAGATTTTTAAATGTGTCATGATTATTGTTATTGTTTTGCTTTGCTTATGAGTTATTTATTGTTGTATTGTTGTCGTTGTGTTTTATTGATGTATTTGGGCTCGGCCTCTTGTAAGCCGCACCGAGTCCTGCGGGAGATGGTAGCGGGGTATAAATAAGGGTTTATTATTATTATTATTATTATTATTATTATTATTATTGTGCATACCCAACTGATGGATCTGAACCAAGCTTGGCATAAACATGGCTGTTCAAACAAGCATTCGGCTAATCTGTGGCAACTCGAATCCTGATGACTAAGGACAGAATACGGACAACGAATTTTGGACTATGATTTTAACTTGAGATATGGGATTATTATTGGTGGCCCAATAATTTGTTATTGTATGAGTATATGTTTTAAACTGGAGATTGTTTTAATTGCTGTAAACCGCAATGAGTCGCCGATTTAGGCTGAGATATTAGCGGTATACAAGTATATCAAATAAATAAATAAATAAATATCCAATATGACCAACTTTGAATACTGGTGTGGTTTTGGGGGGGGGGGGCTGACCCAACATGATGGTAATTGTAGTTCTCTCTGCATCCAGGTAATTGTAGTTCTCCCTGCATCTCCCTTCCCCACTTGAAGTCTCAGAAACAGCCGTCCCCTTGGCTGAGAGCCAGCCAATCACAGCAGGAGGGGGGGGGGGCTTTTGGTGGGAAGATTCGTCATCTATTTCCAAAAAAGGATGAGAAGGACAGGTGGAGAGATCTTCAGCCTTCTCTGCCAAAGGGGTTCCTAAGACCATCAGACGTATGTGGTTTCTAATAGTCTTTGGTGACCCCTCTGAAACCCCCCTCACGACTCCCCTAGGGGTCCTGACCCCCAGACTGAGAAACGCTGGTCTAAGTCTTTAGCAGAAGTATGAACAAAGACAATGGTTTCACAATACACCATATATATTTATACAAACAGCTTTCCACATTCATGATTTTCATACTTATGGTTGGTTGGTTGTTCACAAGCTTGTACTGTTGTGCCTAACTTTTGGAAGTTGGGGCTGCTGTGTGAACAGAATTAAAAAGGTGGGCTGCAACAAAGCAGTTTTTTAAAAAAAAATGCAACACAGGTCCTAGTATTTATGTCCCAGGGAATCTATTGCTTTCCACTCCCTTTTTGATATACTAATTTTATTTACAGGAATATTCCATTTTATAATGGGAAGCTAAGGGTCTCCTATTGCCACTCTTTCTCTCCCCCATCTTGCCCTTCGGCCCCAACTCCCTCCTTGTTTTATCCCGCTTCTCTTCCTGTTCCTTGAAGGAGAGGTAGGAAGGTGACAGTGTGAAATAAAAAAAAAGGTGGGAGAGAAAGAAAAGAGGACAAGGTGAGGAAGAAGGGAAGGAAGTTGAACAATTTATATTAATTCCCTCGGAAGAATCATTATTGTTTTTTGAAAAGGTGACCAAACTGCTATGGCTAGTAACTTTAAAAATTGTTGTTGTTGACTAGGATGGCAAAAGTTAGGAACTCAGGCCCCTTCTACACTGCCAAATAAAATCCAGATTATCTATTTTGAACTGTATTATATGGTAGTGTATACACATATAATTCAGTTCAAAGCAGATAATGTGGGTAATTTGCTTTGCTAATCTGGGTTATATGGCAGTGTAGAAGGGGCCTTAGTTCATCCTGGGAGGATCTAAAAGAAGTACAGCCCCCAACTATACTTTCTCCATCATGATGCCACTCCTGGCCGTTTCAGATGGCTAGCTTGGGAAATGGTGGCAGCTGGACTCCCAAGGCAGCACTGATACTTTCCCCTTTCTATGGAATGACTCTTGGCCTATCCACGTGTCATATCAAAATCCATAATTTTGATCCCCAAACCTTCCCTCAATTTATGCATAAGGCAATTTATACATGACCATATATGCTAACTGTATTTTAAAAATATCCTTCAGATGCCCAGCTGGTATCACTGGCCAATACATATTCCAAATTAGTGAAGGCGAAATCAGAAATTGCAGAACTGAACGCCAAACTGAGCTTTATGAGCCTGGTTGCCTGTTTATCCCTCATATAAAGCAAACTTCACTGGCATCGATAATGTTCATGCAAAGTCTGTCTTCAGTAAGTATGACTACAATCTATAAGAATTTGTTAGTTTAATGTCTCTCTTCAAAAATACAAAATATTGTCCAACTTGTTGCCAAATGGAATCTTGCTTCATTGTTTCAGGTGACTACAGCATGAAATTCTGCAACTAATGCAAATTTGGAAGTAGTGCTCGCTAGATGTTTTTATTAAGAACTAGTTGTCCCCTGCCACAAGTTGCTGTGACCCAGTCTGGTGACCTGGAAAATCAAGTAATGAGAAAGTGCTGGTTTCTAATATATGTAATGTTTTTATGCTTGTGGGTCAACAGTATTTCTTGCTGTTTCTTTGTCAGTGTTGATGTGGAGATTGTCTGGTTTGCCTACTCTGGAACATGCAACATGGAAATTGTCCTTCTTTAGGGGTCCCTTTCAAATCTATACTATATCTCTGTGTGTGTGAATCATTTCTATCTATCTTTATTTATTTATTTATTTACTGCACTTGTAGACCGCCGTTCTCAGCCCTAGGGCGACTCACGGCGGTGTACAACATATAAAAACAAATTACAACATAGGCAATATCATAAACAACAATAACAACATCACTATCAATAATACAATTACACTAAATCATTCGCGACGTCTCATCATAGAATCACAATCCAATCTCGTTATCCATGTTCCGTTCCAATCGTCATTGCCAGTTGTTGTAGCACTTAGTCAAACGCCTTCTCAAACAACCACGTCTTTAGTCTCTTGCGGAATGTCATAAGGGAGGGCGCCAGTCTGATGTCCACAGGGAGGGTGTTCCACAGCCGGGGGGCCACCACCGAGAAGGCCCTGGCTCTTTGTCAGGAAGGCTTTGATTATGTTTTCATGCCCTGGTGGAGGGAGTTGGATTGGATGGCCTTCAGTATGGGGGTTCTGTGTGGGAAGTTTGCCCCAATTCTGTCGTTGGTGGGGTTCAGAATGATCTTTGATTGTAGGTGAACTATAAATCCCAGTAACTAAAACTCCCAAATGTCAATGTCCCCCAAACTCCATCTGTGTCCATATTTGGGCTTATGGAACATTCGTGCCAAGTTTGGTCCAGATCCATCCTGGATTGAGTCCACAGTGCTCTCTGGATGTAGGTGAACTACAACTCCCAAACTCAAGGTCAATGCCCACCAAACCCTTCTAGTGTTTTCTGTTTGTCATGGGAGTCCTGTGTGCCAAGATTGGTTCAATTCCGTTGTTGGTGGAGTTCAGAATGCTCTTTGATTGTAGGTGAACTATAAATCCCAGGAACTACAACTCCCAAATAACAAACTCAATTTTTTGAGTGATGGTCACTCCTTGGGTTAGTAGGTGCTGTGGCCAACCTTCCATCCCTCTTTCTTCTCTCCCTCTTCCTTCCTTTCCTTCTTTTTTCCTTCTTCTCTCTTTCCTCCTCCTCTCCCTCCCCTTTTTCTTTTCTTTTCCTTCTTTCTCTCCTTTCTTCCTTCTCTCCCTTTCCTTCCTTTGGTCTTCGCTTTCATCCCTCCTTCTCTCTTTCCTGCTTTCTTTCCCTCCCTCTTACTCTCTCTTCTTTCTTCTCTGCCACTTCCCTTCCTTCCCTTCTTTACCTCTTGCCTGGGTACTGGAAGGAAGGATCCTTGGAGCCAGGCGCGGAGCAGGCAGGAGGAAGGTACTTTAGAGGCAGCCTTGCTCACCCAGCGCCGCCCCTTTTTTCTGCCTTGGCTGCGGGGCGCCTTCTCGCCTGTTTGCCCGTTGGGCATGCCGTTGGTGCCTCTCATGCTGGCTGTGCTCGTGCGGCAGGGGTGGGGGGAAGGGAATGGGTTTGAACACATGCGCAGTGTTCTCTTTTTAAATTTAAGGTCTTCCTGTTTTTTGGGAGAAATATTGTTGAGTGCAGGACATAGATTGCTCCAAATGCTGTGTTCTGTCCAAATTTGGTGTCAATTCCCCCCGTGTTTTTTGAATTCTGTTAATATCACAAACGAACATTACATTTTTATTTATATAGATCACAGATATTACCATCTCCTTTTTCTCTTGTTCCTTCTCCTAGATTTCCCCCATCCTTCTTGTGCCATTCTCTTTCTTTTTGAAGTAGTTTTTTTGTGGGATTTCAGAACTTTAGGTAAACTGAAACATTTTATATTTTATATGACTGAGGGCGTAGCATATGTCAAACTAAAACTCCACAGAGTATCTCTAGCTTGTTTGTGTGGTACAGATTTTTCCATATTTGTAATATCTATCTTCTATATATATATAAATGCATAATGAGTACCTTAAAAACAAAAGAACCAATGAACGAAATCACACCAAATTTGGCTACAAAACGGCTCACAACACAAGGAGTGACCATCACTCAAAAATTATGATTTTCTCATTTGGGAGTTGTAGTTGCTGGAATTTATAGTTCACCTACAACGATGGAATTGAACCAAACTTGGCACACAGAACTCCCATGACCAACAGAAAATACTGGAAGTGTTTGGTGGGCATTGACCTTGAGTTTTGGAGTTGTAGTTCACCTACATCCAGAGAGCAATGTGGACTCAAACAATGATGGATCTGGACCAAACTTGGCACAAGCACTCAATATGCCCAAATATGAACACAGATGGAGTTTGGGAAATAGACCTTGACATTTGGGAGTTGTAGTCACTGGGATTCACAGTTCACCTACAATCAAAGAGCATTCTGAACCCACGAACGACAGAATTGGGGCAAACTTCCCAACTCCCTTCATCAGGGCAAGAAAACTAATCAAAGCCCTCCTGACAAAGAGCCATCCAGCCATAGATATAGATAGATATATGATTCACACACACAGAGATATAGCATCATAGATTGGAAAGGGACCCCTAAAGAAGGACAATGATATGTTGCATGTTCCAGGGTGGGCAAACCAGACACTCTCCACATCAACACTGATGAAGAAGCAGCAAGGAATACTGTTTACCCACAACCATAAAGAAATTACATATATTAGAAACCACCACTTTCTCATTACTTGATTTTCCTGATCAGACTGGGCCACAGCAACATGTGGCAGGGGGTGGCTAGTTACTTTATAAAATGGGAACAGTTGTTTTTAACTAGGAATTACTAATGATCTCACAATCATTTGCTACTTTTTGCCTATTTAGATTTCACAGTTTTGTGACAAAAGTAATCATAACCTTATGGCACCAAACATGCAGAACAAAATGTGCAGCTACAAAAGCACATGGGAAGTGATTATGGGCTCTGCTGATTTTGCCAGTTCACGTCCATTAGATGCTCCTCCTCCTGACCCCACCATTCATTTGATGAAAATGCAGGAGAGAACTGTGTGTCTAGTGCTTGATACTTCTGGAAGGATGGAAAAGGTAAGTTTGTCTCCCATTAAATCTTTTTCTGATTAGATACTTTACTCTGGATACAGCAATAGATATGTACGAAAGAGTTGTTCTAAGCCAGTGGTCCTCAAACCTTTTAAGGAGAGGGCTGGTTCATGGTCCCTCATACTGCTGGAGAGGTGTTCTATAGTTTGAAAAAAGCAAGAAACAAATTCCTTTGCACACTACATATATCTTATTTGTAGTGGAAAAACCATGAAAAAACAATACAATACTTAAAATGAAGTTAAAGTGTTAACCAACATAAACTTACCACTATTTCAATGGTAAGTGTGGAGGTCTTTCCACACAGTCCTATATTCCAGAATATCAAGGCAGAAAATCCCTCAATATCAGCTTTGAACTGGGTTATCTGAATCTAAACGCAGATAATGTGGGATTTTCTACCTTGATATTCTGGGATACTTTCTTACTTACTTACTTAGGCGATCCCTTGTTTTCCGAGGAGAATTGTCTTCCAGTATACTGGTGGGTCCGTATGTGGCCAGGCACACCTGAGCCCAAAATAATCCAGTTTCTTTGAATCAAAGCATATATGGAATGATGGAAATGAATGTTTACATGCATCTGCATCTTCTTCTGCAGTGAGGGCAATGGTTTCCAAGTGGAAGGCGGTCTCGGTCGGGGTTGGCTTGACGCATCTTCCTCTTGGCACGCTTCTCCCTTTCGCCCTCCATTCGTGCCTCTCAAATTCTGCAGCACTGCTGGTCACAGCTGACCTCCAGCTGGAGCGGTCAAGGGCCAGGGCTTCCCAGTTCTCGGTGTCTATGCCAGAGTTTTTAAGGTTGGCTTTGAGCCCATCTTTAAATCTCTTTTCCTGTCCACCAACATTCCGTTTTCCGTTCTTGAGTTCGGAGTAGAGCAACTGCTTTGGGAGACGGTGGTCGGGCATCCGGACAACGTGGCCGGTCCAGCGGAGTTGATGGCGGAGGACCATCGCTTCAGTGCTGGTGGTCTTTGCTTCTTCCAGCATGCTGACGTTTGTCCACTTGTCTTCCCAAGAGATTTGCAGGATTTTCCGGAGGCAGCGCTGATGGAATCGTTCCAGGAGTTGCATGTGACGTCTGTAGACAGTCCACGTCTCACAGGCATATAGCAGGGTTGGGAGGACAATAGCTTTATAAACAAGCACCTTGGTATCCCTACGGATGTCCCGGTCCTCAAACACTCTCTGCTTCATTCGGAAAAATGCTGCGCTTGCAGAGCTCAGGCAGTGTTGTATTTCGGTGTCGATGTTGACTTTGGTGGAGAGATGGCTGCCAAGGTAGCAGAAATGATCAACATTTTCTAATGTCTGGGATACAGGGCTGTGTGGAAGGGCCCTGTGGCTGATGAGATAGTCAAGTTAATTAGTTGTTGTGTGCCTTCAAGTCATTTCAGACCTTGGGCAACCCCCGGTCTAAAGTTTAGGGCAGGAGCTGGGTAAATTACATTTGAGGGACGCATCTGGCCTGCAGGCCTTAGTTAGGGGACCCCCACTCTAGGCAATAGCAGGCGGTGATTTCCATCTTAGTTGAGTAGTGGTCAGATATCACCTGAATTTTAAAGCCATTCAAGATGTAAATTTCCCAAACATGTGCTAAATGATATTTCCGAAATATTTTCCATCCTCATTTATGAGTAAAAGGCAAACTGCCTGTCTGATATGGACCTTAGGACCCTTCTGCACTGCCATATAAAATTATAGTAATAATAATAATAATAACAATAATAACCTTCAGTATAGAAAGGGCCTAAAACACGGAGTGGACTAAACTGTCATAGAAACCATCACCAGCCACTCCCTCCCCCACTCCACCTCCTGACATACCATTTTATCACACCAGAAGGACTCTAGGGAATGGTCTCTGCTGCCGGTGGGCCTCTCCAGTAAGTTTGGGGGCCTAAATGGGGGCTGGAGGAGAGGGATTGGGTGCTATCCCACACTTTTGGGTTCCAGGAGGCTGAAGGTGCAGGATGGCTGTGTGGACTGACCCCCCGGTGTCACAGAACACAATCCCGAAAGTCAGTCCTCACAGGTGCAATACATCATTAGACTAGGACCTTTTGGAAAGCCCAGATCTAATGAGGTATTTAATTAAACCTTAGTTTATTCCGAATAGATTCACTTTTAATGGAGGTAAACACCAAGACAGGTCCTGTGTTTTGGGCCGTTTTATGAACTTTAGTTCATGAAACTGACCAAAGATGATGCTGTAGGATGCGAGGAAGGAACCAAATGGGTCCCCAGCCTCATTGTTCAGAAATAGACCAAATGATTGATGTGATGACTAATTCCAAGGCTCAAGAGAGCGAGCGAGTGAGAGAGAGAATTGGGTACAGTTCATGAGTCAACAGTTTGAAACTCTGACTTCCGGTGCACGAAAGATGGCGAGGAGACGGGCACCTTAGAGCGCTGAAGAGTGCCACCCCTGACCAAACGACCGGGTAGAGCAATAGCTCCCTTCCCTACCGCAGATCGAAACGGAGGGAACAGCGGAACCGGGGGGGTCGCCAACGGTCTAAAAGGGGGTCCTCTCCTCAAGAGGGGGCCACCAAACGGACCCGGCAAGATCCCCCGAGGTACGGCGGGTCGTGGCAGGGCGATCGGGACCAGGAACGGAGCCGAACCTATCCTCGCCCACATGCATTTTAAATGGAGAGAAACAAAGACTGGAAAGAAAAAGTAAGTGGAAATAAGTAAAGGATTCAGAGAGGAGGGTGGGAATCCCTTCCAGAGAAGGAAGGAAGAAAGACTCAGAAAGACCTAGATACAGAAAATAAGGAAGAGGAGAAATAAAAGAGAAAAAAGAGAGGATAAAAAGAGAAAGAGAGGAGCGAAAACCCTGAAAGCATCTAATATCTACAAGCCAATTGACCCAAACAACCATATCCAAACAACCATATATACTCCAAGGATATAAAGAAATTAAGATAAAATAATAATTGTGAAAATAAAATAAATAAAATAAACAGAAATAAAGAGTTAAGCGGAGAAAAGAAAAGAGACAGTGAAGACGAGAGGAAAAAGAGGGATCACACTTAAAGGATTCCTGACCAAATAAAGACCAAAATAAAAAGAAGAATTTACAAACCCAAATAGAGAAATTTAAATAAATAATTAAATACGAGGAGAAGAAAGAGGGACTGACCTTGAGGCACATTGTTTAGTCTACGACGACTGTAAATAAGAAGGAAGGAGATCACGCGAGAGTGGAAGTGATAAACGGGAAACAGTGAGAATTGGGAGAGATCGCGAAGAAGAATAAAGACCGCGAGAGAAAACGGGAAAAAACGAGAGAAAACGAGATTTGGGAAACAGGAACAGGAAGAACGTAACAGACCAAAGGGGAAGATAAAAACAGTAACACAAGAGGCTCGAAGGACGGAAGAAGCAGAGACAGACGAAGAAGGAGAGGAGGGAAGAACCCCAAGAGAAAAGACCCCGAGGGGGAGAGGAAGAGCGAGAGTAGAGAGAACACAGAAAAGACACAGTACAACGCCAAAGAATCCAAAAAGAAGGAAAGAAGGTAAACGGAGCCCCACATAAGGGGAAAATTTATATAATATAAACAACAACAAAACTAAATAAATAATAATAATAATAATAATAATAACAACAAAAAAGAAATAATAAATAACAAAGTATATAAAATAAAAAAACAACAATAATAATAAAAAATAAAATATACATATATAATAAAAACAATAATCAAGGGGAAAATAATAAAATAATAATAATAATAATAAAATAATTAGATAAATAACAATAAATAACGTAAATAAGCAATTTGTATAATCTGACCATACTCATCCATAAGCTGGCAAAATCTCAGTAAGAACTGACCGAAAGCATTTAATAAGTGGGGACTGCTATCTATAGCAAAAGCCAACAATTAACAGAAATAGAAGCTGCATTGACATATTACTTACTTTCAGATATTAGTACTCATACAGAAAGGACAGATGGCAACTACTATGAAACTAAAGAATGGAAAAGACATACAGCCACAGATACCCAAAAATGGCAAAGAATCTAAAGAACAGAAGGAGACGAAAGAAACACCAAAAGACAAAGATAAAGACAAAGATAAAGACAAGGAGGCCAAGGAAGGCGCCATGACCAACAGCATTACCAGTACAAATATCGCAGGCAGAAGACTCTCCATAGGGGAAGATATGAGGTTGAAAGAACTACTAAAGGAAATAAAAGCTATAGGTAAAGAACTAACTGAAATGAATGAAAAACAAGATGCATATCAGAAGGTAGCTCAAGAACAGATGGCTGAACTGAAGAAAGAAATTAAGGAAGAACTAGGCGCAATGAGAAAAGATGCGGACATAATGAAAGAGGAAATAAAACAATTACAAATGAAGAACAAGGAGGGGGAAGAAAGACAAACCTCGACACAGACAAGAATAAAGACATTGGAAACATTGAACCAAAAATTATTAACTAGACAAGAGAATCTGGAGATGAGAGAGACAGAATACCAACTGCGACTTAGAAATATAAGAGAAGAAGAAGACGAAGACATAAGAGAGAAAACTACAGAGATATTAGCTGAGCTACTATAATGCACGACACAATACATGGAAGATCAGATGGATAGTCTTCAGAGTGAACACGAACTTTGCCAGAAAAAACAAAACCGATCGTGATGTGATAACACAATTTACAAGAAGGGTGACTAGAGATGAAATCCTAAAAATAAGCAACAAAAGAGTAATCTGCTATAAAGATAAAAGAGTGGTGATCCTGAAAGAATTTCCAGGTCCGGTGATTAGCAACAGAAGAAAATATGCTTTCCTCACAGAAGAATTGAAAAAACAAGATATCAGATATAGATGGGAAAAGGATGAAGGTCTGATGGCGACGTATAACGGACAGAGGCATTGGATAAAAACGGTAGAAAAGGCAAGGAGATTTTACAAAGAAATAACGAAAGATGGAGAAGAGAGAGGAGGAACAAAGCCAACACACAAGGAAA